TATCTTGGTGGAATGCCAGAGTTTTAATTATTTTCGCCAAAAACATTTTAATAGTTCAGAAACTGGACTTAAAAAATTTAATTGGAAAAGCACATCATCGTAATTTGTTCTGTTTTTAAAAGATATTGGCTTTTATAATAGATTTAACCTGTTTTTTTTTTTTTTTTTTTTTTTTTTTTTTTTTTTTTCTTTTAAAGATATAAGCTCTTATCATAGACTGTAATCTGTCTCTTACCTAAGCTGGAAGTTTTTACAAATGACTATTTGCATTGTTACCATTTGTCTGGCGCAGATAACCTTGACAGGTTTTGTGCCAAATTACAATAATCCAATCCAATCCACACGGCGACAAGCATTAACTGCTTCTCCAAATTGGAGGTAGAGCATTCCTACCTCTCGGGAGCAGGGGCAAATGGGGAGATCTCCCATACTGTACTGCGTGATTGCGCGTTTCACTTAATGACAGCTCGCTGGACTGTCAGCGAAACAATCGCGTTAGTAGATATCTGAGGACGCGATATCATCCAAAAAAAATTACATGGAACCGTACGAAATACGAAATTTTTAAACAACTACGGACAATGTTATCTGATGCTGGGTATTCCAGAAATACCGTTAAAATAAAATTAAAGACGCGCATATCGGCTTCAACTCGACTAGAGGACTTGATACCTTTTGAATGATTTTTTTGTTTTTTTTTGTTTTGTTTTTCTTTAAGAACTTTTATCTAATTTTGTAAATGTTATTAAATGTTTTTGTAAGACAAAATAATTTTAAGCGGAGAAAAAAAAATTTTGCCAGTATTTTTTTTAATTTAAATTTTTGGAAGAAAAGTTTAACAATTAAAATGTCATTCTTCTCTCACAATTTTCAATGATTACCCCCCGATTTTCATATTCTATTTATTAGAAAGTTCTTAATAACTTTAAGGGCAGATTTTGCAATTAATGAATTAGTTTCTGAGAAAAAATACAAACACATTTTTATTCAAAAACTTTGAAACAAAATAATCTCAATTACATTTCCACTTCAAATAATTTTCTTTTCAGTATTTGCAAAACCCATTCTATTTCTATAAAATATATAATTTTAATTAAGCGGTAAATGTATTAAATAATTTCAGTCATATCTATATTATTTTTACGACTTTAAATAAAAGAATTTATCGAAAAATTGCAAACTGAGAAAACGCATTTTAAAGAATGTAAGATGTCTATATGGTCATTAAATCATTTCAAATCGCTTACAAATTTTATTACTGGATTCCATTACATAGATATAAAATAAAACCCAGTGCTATTCAATTGATTAATATAAACGTAAATTACAAGATTTCATTTAAAATCTTCATAAAACACATTCAAAACAATTTTAACAGATGAATTAATTATAATATATTTCTAAAAACGTGATAGTCAATATTAAAACATTATAATTAATATAATACTATTAATTGTTCGTTTTATTCCTTTCTTCAAAAAGCAAAGTTTGAAATTTTAGCAGCCAGAAACCATTTTATTTAAAATCGCTCAGCAGCATATGTGGTTTTTTTTCTTCTTTTAATCATTTGGTCTCGTATATAAATTGCATTTTTAATTAATTTAGGTGTACTTTAACTAATTAAAGAGCTAAATTCCGATGGCGTTCTATAGCAATAGTAAACAATGTCATAAAAGATGAAGTAAACGTTAGAAATCCGCCAAATCTGATTCGCGTTTGTGACATCAATCATTACTCGCAGTGGCTTCTGGGTTAAGGGACTAAAGACGATGTGCATCTGAAGGCGAAACTGCTTTTTATCCCCGTTTCTCCCTAATATAAACAGTGGATGTGCGAAAGAGCGTTGCATGCGAACGGGGCTCTCATGATTCACGCCATATATTATTCATACCGCGGCGAAAAGCAGTGGCGGTATTCCCTGCTAAGAATACCGGCACTGCTTTTCTTACAGATGGATTTCTATTAGTAATGTTATTGGCTAGCGCCAAATGTGTCTCCGACGACAATGTGTGCTGCCATGCTCAATGATCATGATTCCGGTTCAGGCGCCGCAGACATGTGTAGGCAAGCTAGAGATGTTTCCCTTTGTAGGCGGAATGGCGCAGGCGACGAAAATAAAACGAGGTTTTTCATCACGCTTTTTGCCGCACATGTTACTTCGGTGGGATTCTCCACATTTTACACACCGCACGGGGTTGTTACACAGATGCTGAGTGTGTCCGTAGGCCTAGAAACGAAAACATTGCACAGGCCTTTTTCTTGGTTTGTATTCTTCAACATTCACGTCAAAACTGAACATGTTGTTCAGTTGAAAGATCTGACTTCCTGCGGGGTTACGTTTCAGCTCAACGAAAATATCAGAAGCTTCATCTGGACACTATTCTTGTTACTCGCAAACTGCTTAACTTTAACTGTCGGGAATTTCCATCTGGCCAGGTGATGAAGAGTGGCTTCTTCTTCGATAGAAATAGGAAGATCTTTGATAACTACCCTGATGTTTCTCTCACTCTGCGGCTGGAATGTATGAAAACCGATACCACGATCACTTAACAGTTTCTTCATTTTTCTAAAGTCCTCAGAGTTCTTTATGTACACATGGATGGATTTAATCTTGGCACTAGATTAGTGCGTTTTAGAGCAGTTCTGTGCAAACAGTTCAACAATTTGCAACCAATCCGGTGTTTCGCTTGGGAATATAACGGGCGGGGGTGCGTCAACAGCTGACGCTCCTCCTCTATCATTTTCTGGACTTACATCATCCAACATCTGAAAGCAGTTCGCTTGGATGATGTCCATCGGCTCGGCAGGTACTGGGATTTTCGCTGGGCACCTAGGTGATTTCCATTCCATATTCGTTTCAGATTTATCATCATTAATGTCATTCCTTCTGGGCTTTTTCGTAACATTCAGCGTCTCCATCTGGGCCGTCTGATTGTTGCTTGTGCTAGGTGCAGGTTTCTAAACTTTCCTGTCCTCCTGAGATATCCTTGCATCTTCCTTCATTTTATCAGTACCATACTTCTTTATCAGCTTAATAATATCATTCTCCGAGATTACAGGAGACCTAGCCTTGATCATTGGATATTGAGAAATTCTCTCACTTTTCCCTTTCTTGTTAATTGATACAGGACTGGAATCATCCTTTCTGAGCTGCGGCGGTGGAGATCTTGTAGATTGAGATGATTTCACAGAATCTAACTAACAAACTCATCGTCCGAGAAATCGTTAGTTGCCCTAACAGAGGACATTCGAGCAAAGGCTCGAATTCCAGAATATAATTTAGCTAAACAGTTGAGGTCTAACTTTAAGCTAAAGTAGGAGGAAGATACGTATAAATCCATATTAGTTTTCTTAAATAGAAGTGAGACTGAAAATCAAACGCTGTTTCAGAAAGATATTTTTGTAAATGTAATTTAGGAAGTTAAAATCATATATATCTGTTTCTTAATAAAAATATCAACGCCTTCTGCATTGTGTAATATTCTCATACAAATGGTATATGAAGTTCCGAATGAAAACACTTTTAAATTAAATGAGGAAATGTCTTTTTTAACTACTGTCAATTAAATTAAGAATCTAGCAGCATCTCTGATCTCTTTATCTAACAGCTCACTTACTTTTCTACGTGAATATTTATATCCTATTTTTCCAATTTACTGTTACTCAGTAAGGCAAAACAAATGCACATAATTTTAGGCAATTTAATTTTGGTTCCATGTTTTGCTTTTCTCCTAATATATGCATTGTATGAATAATGCCTCGCTATTGAACATTTTTGCTGTTCATGTCAGACGATCAACTAAAACATGGTAAATTATTAATTGACGAAAACCTCGAAATTGTTAAATAGCGTAATCTTGTGTCCTACAGTTATAAGGTTTGTTATGCTTTGCAATCATCTAATAGTGTCCAAACGCTTGGTAGATGTTAAGAATTATCACTAATCTAAATAACAACTGAAACTTGAAAATCGTTTAAAAACCCTTTTAAAATTAAGCAGAACGGAAGGCTTACCTTGTGCTTGCAAATTCAGCCAACACTTATGACGCGATAGCTTAAAATAACAAACAAAGTGTAAATGTAAAGTTAAATTTAAATAACCTAATAGCCAAAGGTTACGTAGATCAATTTAACGCGGCTCGCTTATCTAACCTTGCATGGAGATTCAGTATCGGTAATTTTAATGTAAGGTAGAAGATTATATATCTTATCTGCGTTAGCAACCTAGTAACATGGCCTCGAGAGGCAGATCATACGCTATCTTGCAATCCAAAAACCTCACCTTAAATACACGTGAACTGAGTTGCATTCTGGCGGGAAAATGGAAGGTATAAATAACAGTAAAGATTCAAAACATAAAATAACTGGTTAATTAGCATAAAAGAACCTTACACAGTCATCTTTCGATGCGGAAAAAGTAAGATATTCAAGCATTAGTTCTACCCGCTTAACTTACGAAAATTAATTCTCCGATTTGTTCTATAGTCTCGTGTTCGATTCTGTTGCACTGTTCTGCTGCAGTGTCTTTTTCCAACTAATAACTGATTCTAGACTCCTGTCTCCTAGACATATATGAAAAAATAACTACACCAGAACGCTCTGCTGATAAATCGACATCAAACTGAAAATACTATTTCTCGGAAAAAGCGTCTTGCTTTTCATGTGCTCATATATTGGTCATAAATAAAAATGTCTGTTGGTTTCTTTCCTCTATGCTTACTGACATATGCACTGTTTCATCTTCGTATCTTTCGTATGAAATCATCTTACAATTATAAAACCGTAACACTTATCGATCAGCAAGGGAAAAGTGTTTATCAAAGCAACATGCGTTCACGGGCCAAAGCCTTTGGCTAAATTACCTCTGCCTTCAAATATGCACCCCTTTCAAGCATCATTGAAAAATAACTTATCTCGTCCTATGCTATATAAATTAATGCTTACGGTCTGAGATTTATTTCTATTCACTTATTAAAATTATTGTATTAATTAATTTACAGCTATACAGTGTGAAGCATGTGACAGGTATTCACCATGTATCTCTCTTTGCCCACCTCCCAACTGTGACACCTACTTGGATTCCCCGGAGGTACATACCTGTAATCGCGATCCTTGCGTTGAAGGCTGCGAACCCAAACCCTGTGAAGCTGGGTACGTTCACAAGAGCGCCACTAATATCACATGCGTCCCAGAAGAGTTTTGCAGACAGAAACCTTGTGCCGTTATTGATGAAGTTCCGTACAGGGAAGGAGAAAGAATAAAAAGTGAAGACGTCGGAGATGCTTGCCAATCATGGTAAAAAAATTAGTATAACACAATAGTAATGATATTATTTTAGATGTTCGAATTTGCTTATTTAATAGTTCATGAAATTTTGATGATTTTAAATATACAATCTTTTCTCACAGCTTCCACTAATAGCAAGCGGAATATTTTTGCATTGCCAGGAAAATATGGCATTTATTGAGGAAACGTAAAACTAAATATCATTTCATTAATTATTATCATAGCAACATACCGATCTTACAGATTTTTAAAAGAATGAAAATGTATATGCATATACAAACGCTTATTTAACTCTTGGACTTAACAACAGATGGAGCTTTCGTCATCAAATAAGGATTAAAACGATATCATGCTTTCCTAATCTATAATCCTGCTTTACATTTCTGGTATGTTATTAACTTAGTTTTAAGTATATATTGCATAAAATTCTCTACATAACATCCTGATACATGCATGGTGTTTCAAAGGGTATAGCGAAACGCTTAGTCGTGTAACTCTGAAATGCGTGGGAGGTTCGAATCCCGCGAACGGGCTGGCTGCATGTGTGTTTTCGTGTTTTGCCCCATGTGTAACGTGTATACGAGCCAGTTTCCCTTAGAACGTCCTCTACGAAAGCATCCCTCCCCTTATGCAGATAGCCCTAGTGTGCTTTGCCGTAATTAAATACACCACCACACCACACCACCATAAATGCGTGGAGTTAGTGACATGAAATTGTGCACGTATGCCCCGGAATCCAAAGTAAACTTGTTTATGGAATCTGATTCGTTTTAATGAATATTTTGTTTTTGCCAAAATGTACAGACATTCAATTGAGTCGGGTGCTTTTTTAGTCAAAGCGTTTTATCTTTGTGATTAGATTATCTTTGTGATTGATGTGTCTTAATTAGAGACCTTACAAAACTCTGGTATAGAGATCTAGTTCCTTTAAAAACAGGCCAAAATCATCTTCAAGGCTGAAGATAAAGTGATAATGAAAAACCAAAAAAGAAAGAGCAAAGATGAGCGAAAATATTACAATTGTTAATTGGAAAAAGAGCCATCAACGTCAACTCCGCACTTGATTCAGCAACTTGATGTCAGTGCAGCCACAGCATGGAGAATAACCCTGAAAGATCCTGGCATTTTCCCTTACAAAATTCAGTTAGGAGAACTTCTCGGCCCAAATGTTATTAAAAACGACTGGATTTAGCCAACAGCATATGCAAAATGAATGCCATTGGTTTCAACTCTACCGATGTCATTTTTTCCAATGAGGCACACTTCTGGTTGGATGGCTAGTGCGTCTCCTACATTATCGGGGAGGCGAATTTAGCAAGAAGCCAGAATTTGTCGTTGTCAAACCTCTTAATCCATTAACGGTCACTGATCGGTGTGGTTTGTGTGCTAATGGCATTTTCGATCCATATTTTTTTTTGTTCCAGACGATGAATTCGTAACGCTATCTCGACTTCTTAAGAAAGAGTTTCACTGCTGATACCTAAAACGAAAATTGGATCTAACACAGTTTCAGCAGGATTGAGATCATCCACATTCAACAAGAGACGTCGTGGACTTGCTTCGAAATCACAGTGACAAACATGCCATTGCAAAAGGCTTCCGAATCTCTTCGGCAATGGACTAAAATAGTCGATTGCGAGTAATAAGAAGAGTCGAGCCGTCGTATACCCCTGACTTATCAGCAGTCAGGGGTACAAGACAGTTGAAACCAATGTCATTCATTTTGCATATGATGTTGGCGAAATCTAGTCGTTTTTAATAGCATTAGGGCCGAGAGGTTCACCAAACTGAATTTTGTTAGGGAAACTCCAGGAACTTTGTGTATTATTCTTCATGCAGTGGCTGCACTGACATCAAGTTGTTGAGCCAAGTGCAGAGTTGATGCTGATGGCTATTTCTCCATTTGACAGCTGTGATATTTTTGGATATCGTTCCTGTCTTTTGTCCTTCCTATACTCTGATTTCTCACTTCTTTTATGAAGGCTGTGTTAAAGATCAAGTCTACAGATAACGACCAAAATAGTTTTTGATTCGGTATCAATTTTGAATTCGGGCATTTCCCCCCTTTCTATTCTAAAAATAGTAATAACTCTTTCGAAACTGCATCAGATTTGAAATCTAATTTCATATCCTGTCATTTCAATCTTCTGCGCTGCGTATAATTCTTAGTCAATTAGATTAACGAAAATGACATACAATCCAACTACGCTCCCTCTTCTACCGCTTTTTCTATCTCGAATAACTTACATTTTAACCCTTATTCGCTTTCTTCTGTTCTTCTAAAATGTAGCTTCGTATACAAAACTGTGGGCTGTCAGCTGCACATATAATAATGTGTGGAGCAAATATTGTGTCTCCGAAAGTGCTTTATCCAATAATAAAATTATATGTTGAATTCGGTTACGTCCGTCTGCAAGTCCATCATTTCCATTTACACGGTTCTGTCAATTTATGTGCGCAGTTTGCGAACCAGCATGCCATCTGTCCCATCCAAACATTACGCACATATATATATGTGTGTAATAATCGTACGTTTTGGCGGAAGATGAAAACAATTCACTTTTAGTCATGGCTGGAAAACTGCTGCGTATGATCGCATGGAATTTGTAGAAGCATGACCAGCTTGATAGTTAAACATCATTTATTCTTGAATGAAGAATTCCTTAATACACCACTGTAGGAGACTAGGGGTGCTAAACGCGCGCCATAATTTTAGATATGCAATTACATTTTATATAATGGCGAATACCTAGCAGAGGCTGAGCGACTTGCTGTCAGCACGCAAGCTAAGAAGCGAAAAAGAGTGAAACTACGCAGTTATTAACTATTTATACAAGATAGGTGCACAAAGTACAGAGCCATTTCTATAAGCTACAGATTTACAGAGCCATTTCTATAAACTGAGTTTCAGTTCCATTTACATCACCGGAATTAGATTTTTCTGGAAATGACATAGTGCAAAGAAAGGTAACTATTTTTAGAATTGAGAAAAGAAATTTACGTTGCTAATTTAATCTTTTACTTATTCTTTATTTTTCTTATATATATATATATATATATATAATATATATATATATTGTTACATTTATTTCTTCCTTTACGTTACGTTCGTATGGGGTTTGGGGATTTGGAGTTAATAACGTCGACAGCACTTGATGAATTATCAAAACACATTTTATTGGCCAGTGTTCTCAGGACAACTCCAATAACACGTTTACACAGTCCTCGAAGAATTACCATAAACACGCTGGCAAAGCCTTCACACTATCAGGCTATAACTGTAGAGACAGCGTCACGGCAAAGCACCAGAGTACAGCTACCGACTCTGCTCCGTCGTTCTCGGAACTACACTTACTGTCGAAACTCTACACGCTACAACTCGCGTCTCGAAACTCTACGCACTACAACTCGCGATGTACTCAACTATACACAAGAGTACAGCTCCCGAATCCTCGATTCAGTCGTTCTCGGAGCTCAAGACACTCTCTCGACAATACACTAAATGCGATACTCTAAGAGACTCTTTCGGTGCACTCGAAGACCCACTCGGCACTCCCTGACTGACTATCAACTCGATAGACTCCGCAAGGACTGACTCTCCGCGTACCAACAAGGTTTATATAGCTTTTGGCTTGTGTTCGAGAACATTCTGAGGTAATTTTAATGAGATTTTGTCGCCAAATGAGCGATTTCTCGCCAAATGTGGCAGCCCTGGCTTCCCTTGGCATTTTATGGCAACCCTAAAACTGCTTTGCGGGGAAGCTATCTTACCGCACCCGGACATTTCGTAACAATATATAAAGCAAGAAATTAAGAATCAGTTTTACACAAAGACCCAAAAGAAGTGAAATTCAATACCAATTTATTTTAAAATACCCTATAAATACGTAAGATAAGAATTAAAGAAAGATGAAACTAAAACCTAAAAATTACAAACAAAAAAAAAAAAAAAAAAAAAAAAAAAAACAGAAACAAAATACCAAAACCATGTGTGTGTATGTATTTTATGTATGAAATACAGTCAGGGGATTAAATGTTGTGCAGATTATGTGCGCTCAATCTAATTTCTGAAGAAAAAGAAAAACTTTCAATTTTGGATCGAAATTTAGGGACTTTGATTCACTGAATCTCATGACTATGGCTTGCAATGAAGCTAAAGTTTCAAGGTAGGTTATCGTCTGGAAATGCTTGACACTTGACTGCAGAATCAGAAATGTTCTGCTGATAAAAATGTAATAGCATTCTGCCTCGCTGGAAGTACTTCTACTGTTGAAGGATTTGTAAATATAAGAGAAGGAAACACGAGATTCTAGATGGAAAACGAAAAGAGCGATTTAGGCTCTAGAAAGTTATCAGATCAAGATAATATTGATTTAGGGACTGAAGAAGAGCCTTTATAAGAGCATGAAGAAGAGGTAAAGAATAAAATGGAAGAGCAAGGATGAAACACGGAACTGCGAACTCTTAGTCTAAATAAGAGAATAAATAGAGATCTAATTTAATGGCCTAATAGTATTGTAGTCTGACCTCGCACTTTTGTACATTGTTTGAAAAAGTGTTAATATAATTTTTAAAGAAAGGAGCATAACAGACTTTACAGAGAAGAACTTTTATCTATGTACCTATGAAATACCTTTATAAATTTTAGTATTAGTATTATGACTGAATCTCCTAATTAAAGAAGTAAATTTTATATAGTTCATAAGTTTCCTCTGCAATTTATTTTTATAGTATACTTATGAATTTACTGCAGTTTTACAGAACCATTTTGCAATTATCAAAGTTTCTGGCTATCTGTAGCTATCAGTCCATAAGTAGCTATAGTCCTTGGGTTATTGCGATCTCAGTGCATTTACAATAGTTATATACAGAATAGTTTTAAAGTATAAATTTTCTGTTTAAAAGACCTCTTATATATAAAATATTTTTGTAATAAAAGACATTCTGCTGTGTGTGGCTCCTTGTTATTGAAAGAAATTCGTATTTCTGTTCAACTTAAGTTAAAAAAAAAACTTTCAAATGTAAAATAATTTGGTTAAACAGATACAAACCTACACAAATAATTTTCATTTCGTTAATATTCTCTTTTTCGCTAAACATAACATTAGCAAAGCTACAAAATTTATTACTCATATTTAATTTTAATTAATATTAAAAGTTGAACGTTATTAAACTTAAATCTAAAAAAAAATTTAAAATTTAATTATCTATTTTCAACGATATGTATTTTAATTAGTTAATGCTTTTCAATACTTGGATAGAGAAAACAGTTTTATTATTCTTCTATATCAATTCTAGCTATTGTCGCCATGGTGCAGTTGAATGCGTTGGAGTGCCATGTACAGAAGCCATCATAACTACTACACGTCCTTATATCGTAGAAGTCATGGATCAGTGTAAATTTACAGGATGGACAGATTGGTTTAACTCTGTTGATCCGAGCACTAATGTAAGTTAAATATTGAACCTTTGCGTTATCCACTTTATCATATTTATTCAGTTCTGATAAGAATTTTTTTGTTGTTTCCTTATTAGCATTAATGCTTGTCTAAAAATGTTCTTATTATCAGAGCATTTACTGTCTACGTCTGTTATTTACTAGCATTTATTACTAAAATAATGTATTCAATCAATTATAAAATTCACAATATGGCTTTTAAATTTTATTACCAGTATTTTAACGTAAACGTTCGAGATAAATTTAAGTTATAAAATATTGTCGGTTCTCGTAAATAATAGAATTCGACTAATTTTAATTTTATTCATTTTCTCAGACATTAAAGCCTTTCTTTCAAGTGATGTTATTTCAAAATAACATGCTCATCTCATAGATCCTAAATCATGTTTCGCAAAGTTTTTTATTAATCTTCCAAAGTATTCCTATATGTTTTTAATATTTGCTTTTCTATTTCTTAGAATTATATAGTCTCTCATTTCTTGCTGATAAGATCCATTTACTAATAAAATAATTTGGTTAAAGTTTTTTGGGAAATGCAAACTTTTGTACAGATCGATGTTATAGTAATGTGATTTCATTTCCTCTGCTTAGTATAATAATAGACAAGCCCGATGTCTAGAAAAGTCCTTGGATTACTTTTATGAAGAAGCGTCTTACATAGAAGGATGTATAATGTAATACTAGAGGTAACTGCATGAAAGAATTTCAGATAATAGCGTGACTCACAAGATGAGCATTTATGGTTACTAGACAGCTCTCAGAAAAAGACATCATAGCAAACTTGTCACGGTAATGCAGCTTCCTTGTACTTAGACAAGAAAAATAAGGACAAAACTTATTATGGGCGATATATAAGTAAAGTAAAACACACACACACACACCACACGCTCGATGACACACTCCATTTCTTTTTGCGTTCCCATTTTGATACTTGCTTTGTGCACTGAATGTGTTAAGCTCAACTTTCTGGTATTCATTCCGTTAAAGTACAGTTTATGGACAGTTAATTGTAATAAGTTTATAAATGCATTGCTGAAACACAGTCTATGGGCACTGTGTTTGTAAATAAGCTAGGCATTGAAGAATACCACTTTGTGGTAAATTATCCAATATATACCAAGTAATAAATTTACCTTCTTCCGTGACGATTATAACTCGAAAATAGTCAATGTCTACAGTCTCATAAAAATGTGCAATCCGAGTGATTTGATCTGTAATTAATAATTAAAAACTTATTTATTGATAGAACGTAAATAGTAGCAAAATGAATAAAGAAATAGCTTTTCACCATGGTTAGTTGGCATAAATAAAAAATAGTAAAAAAGTTTTAATAAAACAAGCTTCTACTTAAAACTCATAAAAAATTAATGAAGTGAAAGGAGAAAAGTAACAACGTGACTCAGAGAATACTGGGCGTATTTAAGTTGTTGTATTTCGCCATGTTACAGTTGTTTTCACTTTCAATGAATTTCCTAAATTTGCAAATATTCATTTTATTAATTATTTTAATATTTTAGGTGGTTCATCATAACTTGTGACTAACTGAAACCAAGGATACTGAATCAACGAATTCGAACGAATGAATTTATTGCTAAACCAGAGTTCCTGAACACAATTCTATGTCTAGTGAATTAAATATGAATATCGGATCAATTTTCGTGCATCCATTGCACTAGGATAAATGAATTTAATAAAATCTTTTAAATAAAAAGATATCGTATTTAATTTAAATGACTCATTTTTCTTAATTTTAAAATGTTCATAGCTCTGTATATAATCCATAACGATAAATTTTGTTAATATCATTCTCCCCCACTATATTATTAGATCCGTACTTTTATCTACTGAAACGCATTCTTAATTTTATTCATTTCATTAGGCTGGTCGTGACTTCGAAAAACTTGGAAAATTAGCTGACGACTTGCGGCTGCCATGTCCTATAACCCACGTGAAAAGTGTTCAGTGTCGTGATGCTAACACTCTTGTTCCAGTCGATCCAACTAATGAACAAGTTACCTGTGATTTAGAAACTGGACTGGAATGCAACACTGGGAACTGCCTCGATTACGAAATGCGAGCTTATTGCCAATGTCAAGAAGAAGGTAATAATGTTTGATATAACAGGTTTTTAACAGAATCAGATCTTGATCACATAAACCGAGGAAACGTTGTAAGACTTCAGCAACTTTGCACCCAAAAATAAAAGCGCAATACTCAAAAATAAATTTGAAACCTTCAAAATGATGGTGGCCTTCTTTTTAATGTTAAATTCCTATCTGAAGCAGAAGTTCTTATCATAATGTGTTTTTAATGAAACAGATTTATATACATTTTAACTAAACATACTCGTATATATTTTTATTTTGTGAACGTAAAATTCAGATTTTCCTTCTAAGCTGTACGTGTGCGCTGCTGTTTCATAACTGTTTAGAATTTTGCCAAATTCTGCGTACACTTATGTTAGAAATTAACCAATTTCTGCGTATATTGATGCTACATATAAAGCATTTTTAATTATTTAAATAACGTTCTTCGCAAATATGATCTCTTAAATTTTTGCTGTCTTTCGTACAGCCAAGCAAAATCACAAAACTTTTCAGATAGTCTACTTTACAAAACTTTCTCTAAATCAGCAGTAGTTTCTTCAATAAAACAATGGTGCATCAAAAACGATTAACTGTGAGAATGCTTCAGTCCTATAATGCTGATATTTATACGCAATAATTTAAAAGCCAAACTTTAAACAAATTTAAATAAATACTTTTTCCCCTCTCCCCCTTTTTAGGATGTTGATGACACATTCGTGTTTTCTGGTGCCATGAATGATTATAGCAAAAATGTGAATTCATTCGCCCCCCAGTGGCTGAGCGCTGGTAGTTCGGTCTGAGGTTCGAATACCGCAAACAGGCTAGCTGCATGGATAGTTTTAGGTTTTCTTCATGTGTAACGTGTTAATATGAGCCAGTTTCTCTCAGAACGTCTTCCGCAAATGCATCTCTCCCTTCCGCGTAGTGCCTTAGGGTGGAGCGCGCAAATAATAATAATAATAATAATAGCAATAATAATAACGTGAATTTATAGTTTTCTTCTACGCAAATCGCTCTCGAATGTGAATCACTAAACTCTATAATATTTTAATAGCATACAATATGTGAAAACGTTTGCCATTTAGAAAGATTTACATTACCTCCTTTAAAAATTGAAAACGTTTCCCGAAAATATATAGAAATTCATCTTCTAAAACAATCACAATACTTCAGTTGTTTATCAGCTTTACCTTTCTCTGAGTAAACAAATTGGCTGAACTTTACTTCAGTTCAGTTTTAATGCTACTATCGTTTATAAAGCTCAGGATTAAGTAACATGCCTCATTACAATTAACTGTAGGGGGAAATTATAATATTCTTGGTTTAATTAAGACACAATAACACGCCGAACAAATACTAATTCAGAAGTCAAACAGAAAAAATCAGCGTTATATTTTCAAAATTTCAAAATTTTGAAAATATAACGCTGACTTTTGTTGTTTGACTTCTGAATTAGTATTCTTGGTTTGTTTAGCTTACCATAATCAAAAAATCTGATGTGTACACCACATGACTTCTTTGTACGGAATATTAAATTATACGCATTTTTTTCTTGAATTTCATTTAAATTGATTGGATTGAATAAAATCTACTTCGTCTACAGCGCATAAACCGCAATAGAATAAATGCACTCTTTAAAATTCACTATATTTTTTTACTATAACAACACTCTGAATGCACAAAATTTATATCATTTGAAGAATTATCTTATCGTTGCCACATGTTCTATTAAAATACTATAATAAAGCTAGAACGATGTATGAAAGAAATTAAGCAAACAAAACAGAAAAGAAACAGTTTTTCACAGACGATTTAGTATTTCTCATTCAATTAATTCAGTTCTCACTTCGCGACAAGGCAAAAATACATAAAAACTCAAAATATCTGTATTATAAATTACGAAGTAAATCTTAAACATTTATTTTCTCGAAAAAATTCCAGAAAGGATTAAGCATGATTTAATTAGCAATAATAAATGAAGGCGTTATTTTTGTTGTTGCGAAGCTTAGTCTCTCCACATTGGCAACAAATCTACAATTCTGCTGTTTCAAATGTAAACACATATGTCCGCCACGTTATTTAAAACTTAAACGCACTTAAACAGCTTTTAAATTGTTGATAATTGTACAAATATTGCTTCCAGAATTACGAAAGGCATAAAACCCTTAACCGAAAGATAAGAACAACATAATTCAATCATTTTTAAAGCAAAAAATGTACAATTTACAAACATATATGAGTTAAGAAACTGAGATCACTGTACCGAGTAACAGAGGGGATATATATATAAATATAGTATTTATATACGTTTGGTGCAGCCGATTGCAACCAAAATACGAGGTGCACATCTACATGTTATAGCAGTCCTATATACAAAATTTCAAATTTCTGACGCTACTCGTTTTCGAGTTATGCGAGATACGTACGTGCGCACGTACGTACATACGTTCGTACAGACGCCACGAAAAATTGTCTTCAGAATTAATTTTAAAGCAGTTTTATGACTTTTTTGGACGAAACGAGTCTTTTATTCTGTCTTTACGTACAGATATCACGCAAAAACATCGTTAAATTGCATTCGATAGCGGTCAAAATGGATATTTTCATTGAAATATGCTGCCTGAAACTTTTCGCGATTACAATACTTCCTTTTTACTTCGTACAAGGAAGTAAAAACAGCAGAATACTAAACTTTATCCTTAAGAAATACGAGTAAACATAAAAATTAAGCGAAAGATTTATCCTTCAGTATCGTAATTTTTAGTCTCTCAGTTAATCATTTTTCGGATTATTTAATACCGTTCTATGCTGCCTCTCTTCAGATGGTTGGATTGCCTTAGAGTATTTGTTATACGAAACGAATGAAGGTTATCTGCACTAGAAGAAATGGCATCAAGGAGAACATGCCAAAGAATTCTTTTGGAGTTCAAAAGTTCAATTTTGTGATTTTTTTTAATCCGTATTCAAGAAAATTAAGTTATTTAATGATTTCTTTTACACGATCATCCCACAAAAAATGTTTTAAAATGTTAAAGTTTAATCTTATAAACATTTTCTCCTTTCATTTTTATAATTGTTTTCTTTCTCCTGTTCTAGGCCCACTAGCGGTCGAGCGGTAAAATCGCTGAACACTGGTAGTTCGGTCCGAGGTTCGAATCCCGCGAACGGGATGGCTGCATGGGCCTTTTCGTGGTTTTTCCCATGTGTAACGTGTATACGAGCCAGTTTCCTTTGGAAAGTCCTCCACGAAGGCATCCGTCCGCTTAGGCAGATAACCCTAGTGTGCTTTGCCATAATTAAATAAAAGCAAAACCAAACCAAAAACAAAACCTTCTCCTGTTTTTAATAATATTTCTGTTATTCCTTCTCTGTTTTACGTTGCAACCAGTGAATTTTTGTAAAATGTACATTGCTTGTAGATGAGAGAACAGTAATGCATACTTTTGATATATTTACATATTTATAATTTTTAGCAAAATCATTGCCAATCTAAACTTGAAAATACTTTTTTTAATTTTAAAATGCATGTTAGCTTGCTTAGTAAATCATTTTCCTTAAACCAAAAATCAGTTTTTTAAACATGGCTCTCGGTTTAGCTTATAGAGAAGAAGCTTATAGAGTTCATGTTCAATTTTGGACAATTGTTGACGTATATTCCTTATGATGGATCGAAGTAAGGCAAGCTTGCAATTTAACAGAACTTAGAATTTGGAACTCGCTAATTTATATCCAAAATTCACTGCCCTTGAACAAAAGTCTTGGTCTAGAACGGAGAATGCAGTTAACCGTCATAAAAACAGTCTTGCAGTTAAATTCGAAAAACTTCTTTTACAGTCTTCCAGTTCAAGTAGTTCAAAAAAATCTTCGCATTGTAAACATCAAGCCAATAGTTAATATTTCTAATTTTAGTCTTTCAGAAGAACAAGAGACGATTCTAAAATATAATTTTAACTTCTCACAGACCTGTAAACCCTCGATTCCAAAGATTTTGGCTCCTTTCGAAAAAGCTTTCAAGTTCAGTAAAGTTTCAGATTCACAGAAAGAAATGATGAGGCATCTTATCGCTCATAATGTGGAATTCAATAATGAACCTTTGAAACCAAATCTAACTGCGACAGAAAGAGCTACAATGCGTGAAATTCATTCTAACCCGGATATTATCATTTCAAAGGCCGACAAAGGTGGCCAGATAGTCGTCATGGATACCCATCTATTGCGAATTGTGCCAGATTATATGCTCTTCCCAAAATTCAAGTATTCCTTTCCGCCCTATTGTATCAAATTTAGGTACTGCCTCGTATCCATTAGCTAAATATTTAGTTTCTAGATTTTCAACTCTATTAGACAATAACATGTACACCATAAAAATTCAATAGAGTTTGTAAAAAACATGAAGCGAAAATTCGCTTCATGTTTCTTTGAGGGTTATTAGACTAAGTATTAGATACAGGTCAAATCAAATTCCACATTTCCCTTCTAGAAATTGACTTACGGTTTCTTTTGATGTAAAATCATTATTCACCAATGTTCCAGTGGAGGGTGCATTAAGATGTCTAGAAAGCAGACTTCGCAAATTTCATTTCTCTTGCATCGGAATTGATGAGCTAATTTCTCTCACTCTGTTTGAAACAAACACATTTTGTTTTCCAAAATAAATATTACACGAAAACTGTGGGATTAGCCATGGAAAGCCCCCTCAGTCCATCCTGGCTGATATCTACATGCATTATTATGAATCAAAATTGTTTGAAACTTTAAACTTCCCGGCATGGTTCCGCTACGTAGACGATACTTTTACCCTGTTTGAAGGTAATAAAGATGATTTAAATAAAGTTCTTTCAACAATGAATTCTATTGATCCTGCTATTCAGTTCACTTTTGAACTTGAGACTTGCAATTCTCTTCCGTTTCTCGACATTCTGGTCACACGTAACACATCCAACTTCAGTACTACGGTTTACCGTAAACCTTCATCGGTTTGCCTTCCACCACACTTTAAATCATGTCATCCGACTAAACAAAAGTTAGCTTCATTTTATTCCTATGTTTTCCATGCTCTTCAAGTTTGCTCCTCCAAACTAGCCCTTGATGAAGAACTAAATTATTTAAAAGCAATAGCTATTGACAGGGGCTTTTCATCCAACATTATTAATTAAGCAGTTAAAAAATTCTCATCTCAACACAATAAAAGGCACACTCTTGTTTTAGGAGATTATAAAAATTATATTGTCATTCCCTTCTTTCCATCCATTTGCTATAAAGGTGCACATATTTTGCAGAAATTTAACTTTCGGGTTGTGTATTCTCCCATCAATAAAATTCCGATTTCCATACTCAAGGACCCCATTCCGGATATGAATTCCTGGGGTATTTATATATTTCTTGCCAGTGTGATTTAATTTACATTGGCCAAACTAAGAGAGCCTTAAAATTTCGCGTCAAGGAACATGAGGCATATGTTAGAAAAAAGGAAACACAGAAGTCTTCTGTTGCTCAACATTGTTGGTCCGCAAATCACACTTTAAATTTTTCAATTTCAAACAACACTGCCAAAATTATTCAAAAAACATCTTCCATTGGAGAATTGGATTTTCTAGAGGCATTTCACATTCAAAAAAAATCTTTCTGTTCTAGTTAACGATCTTAATTTCAATCCGTCTTTGCCTTCGGCCTTTAAAGAAATTATGTTTTAGTTCTGGTTTCATCAACAGATGGCGCCACTTGCTTATTCCTGTCCAGGCTTTCTTATCTTATCTAGTCATTATTTCCTATCTTGTTCATTTGTGGTTTTACAGCTGAGGATGGTGGTTCGGTAAAAACCATCGAAACTAGTCCTGCGAAAATTTTGAAAATATAACGCTGGTTTTTTGTTGTTTGACTTATGAATTAGTATTTATTCGGCGTGTTATTGTGTCTTAATTATCAAACAATAGTTTCAATTCGATCAAAATATCATCGATTAAAGAAATTACCAAAATTACTAATTATGATCATATTGTTTCTGAAACTTCTGCGATTCCGTACAATAACTTCTTTTCGATCCTGAGAGGAGCTCTTAGAACTGGCTTCTTCTGTTGTTCTGCAGTTTTACTCTTGGTGACTCATAAGTTGTTTTTCCGTCGTAGCAACTTTTCGCTAAATATTGCGTCGTTCAGCTGTGAATAACTATATTTTATTTCTCAGTTACTTCTTCTCTAAAGGTTTGTGCCTCTTCAGGTAGCATTTACGTGCTATCTGAAAGCTTAATTAGTCATTCTATTATAACTATGTATCATTGACAGATATGGGTAGAATCGCTCTTTTATGGGATCTGATCAGAACCGTTCGCTCACTGAAAATCACTTTCAACTGATTTTTTTTTATAACTCACCGCTTACCAAAAAAACGTCTGATGAAAAAGATCAGGAGCCAGAGTTGAATCAAGAGCGGTTAGCTGGGATAGAACGAAGAGCGAAAGAATAGAACGAGCAGTGAGATCGAGAGTGGTTAGCAAGGGTAGAACAAACAGCCAAACGAATCAAGCGTGCCGTAGGATAGGAAGAATTGATCTAATTCAACGCTAGCTAGAACTGATTTTTCTCAACTTTAGTGTTATGATTTATAAAAACCTCCTTTCTACTCAGGATAAAAACAGTAAAATTCTAAAATAAAAATATTTTAAAAAATTGGGAAAGGATAAAAATTAAACTAACTTTTAACAAGGGAAGATAAACGTGATTTTATCCCCTAAAATGGGAATTGAATTTTCCTAGCCCACTTAAAACTTCCTTTCTCTCCTTTTTTCGTGAATCAGACGTTCGTTCGCGGAGTAAAATGAATCAGTTCCTGAACAAACTGCAGATCTCTTTTTCTAACATGCTTCGAACTATAGCTGTTCGTGAACTGCAAGAGAGCTGTAAATCCGTTTTTCAGAAATCAGAGTAAATTCACTAAGTAAAGTTAACCGTTTCTTTGAATCATTTCCAGAGCGGATGGTCCAACTTTAACTGTCCGCAGCAATCCATCAGACTTTCCTTATATGGCTCATTTCTTGAATATAGCGTATAAATTTCTTCAGCTATAGTTTTACGTTTCATTTCTTTACTATCTTTCGTATTTTTCTTTAGTATCTTTAGTATTATGATTTCTTTAGTATTTTTCTTGATTTAGTTACCTGCCCACGTGGTCAAGAATGGAACGCATGCGCTTTCGAGTGCGAAAATTCCTGCCAAGCTCTGCAAGAGGATTTAAAGCAACAAGGCTTATGCAATAACGGTGAAAAATGTGCACCTGGCTGCACTGCAAATGTTTGCAGGCTTCCTTATTTAGCTCGTGACCCCAAAACATGTGTCCTTCCTGAGACATGTACCTGCAAACTGAGCACAGGATTCGTTTTAGCTGTAAGTATTATCCAAAAATTATGCTCAGTCAGTCCGTTTAATCAGTTCTGACACGAAACGTTCAGATTGGTTCAGATACGTTTACCTAGATGCAATTAAAGTTAGCTATGCCGATTTTTTTTTCTTATGAACTACGACGAAACATCAGTAATCAATATCAGATACGAAATACAGCTAATCCTTGTTATAACGAACTTCAAGAGATCGAACATTAGTTCGTTATATTCGATGGTTGGTTCGCTACAGCTGATCCGAAAAAGAAAAATGGCTAATTTGCAAGAAAGTATGAACATTAATTAATGAATCATGAATGAATTTTTAGCACTGTCATATCTAAAAAGTGAATAATAACTTTAATTTCTTTAAAAGGTTTATATTAAGCATTAGTTACATTTATCAATACGTGTAATTATAACATCTGTTTTTGGTTCTTTTTTGCTTTGATTTACTTTAATAATTGTAATAAGGACTTAGCATAAAAGTCGTTGTTCAAACTCTTAACTCGAAACATTTGCCTTCCTCTAAAATACACATTTGTAAGAATGAATAACCATTTTCGCAACTAGTATGACCTCCTAAGATATACAGTATTTTCTCGCGTATTCCTCTTCCCTTAAGATTTTAGCGACTAGTTCTGAAAATTTCCTAAATATTCGCGTAATTTACCCTTTCTTAACGCATTCAGAGAATGAGCTGTCTTGAATTTTAAAATAGATTCGTCTATGTAATTGTTTTTTGTCTTACTAAAAGAGACAGACCCTCGCAAATTACTCAGACACGTAGTACCTATCCCTTTCAGCTTTACCCGCCTAATACAAAAACCGACCCATCACAGCGCAGCAAACACGAACTGACATTCAGTCTAAGATTTCGCTGAGCCAGCTGCACATGCTCCTTCTCTAATTACTTGTTTTTTCTTGGTTAGGGCACATAGGAAAGTAGGATGAAGATAAACGGTAATAACGTAAAAGTAGTTTTCCTAATCTTATAGCATAAGCATGAATGATTTTAAATATTAGTAATATTTCCTTTAAAACTTCAAAATATTCTGTAAAACATTACGAAAAACAAAAACAAAGCTCAGTCGAAATCCGTAAAGTTTATTATATCAGATTTTCATGCTTTGGAAGTCCGCTATAGTTGTATAAAGTAACATTAATTGAGTTAAGAAATTGGATAGGGCCAAAAACTTCTTTCATTATGTACGGGAGTTTGTTATAGCTCGATCTGATTTTATGTCCATAAATGCATAAAAAGCACATAGATATGATGCCCAAAGTAATTCAAAGTTCCACCCTAGACTGATGTTCGTGTTTCAGAAAACTCTATGTATTTTGAGGGACATTAACATGGATATTTTCTTCTTCAAGGAACAAAAATATTTTCCCCTTATAGAGGAGAAAACTGTTTGATACAGTTTGAAAACAACTCAGGAAAACGCCTTTTGTTACTACTTAATGGCGGAGTGCCCAACTGCGCTCATTCTAAGTAACAGCTTTATTCTTTAATTGAGTGTTTAATTTCATTTTAGAAATAATTAATAGATTTTAGAGTTAAAAGTTATAAATTAGATTTAACATCAAATTTGAAGTTTTGCATATTTTACTAAAAGATATCCATATGTACAAAACTGCTGTTGCTGAAAGGTTAAATTATTTTATTTCTTAAACTGTAACCGTAGTTCTATCATAAGACACACGTGCAAGGGATATTTAATAGCATAATCATTTTCAAATACACTCAGTAGTCTCTGTGCGTCTCCGTCTAACATATAAGTGTGGTCGTTGGGTAAAAAATAAAGGGTACGGAGATTTCTTCTGTAAAAGTGTCTCTTATAGCTGTAATCTTACGTTTTCGCATAGGCGCATCTGGAGTTTTTGGATATAAAATTTCATTTGAAGGCATTTTTATCAAATGTCATTGACATTTTTTCTGCAGCTGCGACACCCACTATGCACTTTAATCCTTTTTTTATTTACGTGATTTATTCCTTTCTTTATTTTATTCGTCTATAAGCTATGGTTATAGAAAATATACACACGCACACCTTCGTAAACCTATCGATATATATACTACTTCTATATTGTAATTTACGTAAATATTTTAGTTTATTTCTTTGTAATTCGAGACTGGTATTGATTACATACTTTTTATGCTGTTTTAACTTTTTTATTTATTTATGTCATTTAGTGCATTTTGTTTGCAGTTTTATGTCTATTTGTTGTGCATTTTATTTCCTTCTGAACTTGTGATCACTTATTATGTTTGTATGTGTTTAAATCGTAGATTAGTTTGGAGAACTTAATTATGTGTCAGCAGAATGCTGAAATATTAGGAGGTCGTAGGAAGAACACTATGTACCAGAAACAAACCTCTTTAAAGGCATTGGCAAGAACTTTTGGTGCCAAGTGAAAACATTTAGTGATTATTAGCTAACTTGACGATATAAAAGAAGTTTCCAGGAATTACATTTCGGTATTGTAGGAGCGATTTTTCGGAAAGGTTTGAGGAATATTTTCTTTGCCCTTTGCGAATAAAAAACAGTTATGAGGCTTGCGCCATTCAATTATTCTGTTAAATTATTCAGCCAGTTTCAGTCAGTTCCGTTCAGTCAGCCCGTTTAATCAGTTCTGTTCGGTCATTTAAACTTAGAATCATTGCGACTGTTAAGCTTAACGCTTGGTGATTATGCATTTAGACTTTATTTTGTGAATGAATTTAGTTACGTGTGACATTCGGCGCATGGTAAAAAAAATTTCGAATTATTTCTGGGTTCTCCACCAGGCATTTTCTACCTGCTTACATTAATAGTAATTGCTGCTATTCTTTTTTAAGCAGTATAAAGTGTTAACTTTTCCTATTCATCTGGCCTTATTTAAGATCTGCATGAATTTGTAGCGTACAGCAGTGCAATATCCAGTTTATAAAACTATATGAATTACATGAATAGTTTTTGTTTATGAAGTTATATGAAGTACATTTTTGTATTCAAAGTTACAGTAAATTTCGTATTTCAGAGATTTTTATCGAGATATGTGTCCTATCCTTTCTTCTTGGACGTGCAGATTCTGGATATATGTTTGCGTAACGTGGAACGTGAACTAAATATGGTCATTGCTTAAAACCAGGCATTTAAAGACACCAACACTTTATTAACACACAAACAAAACAAAAACAAACAATTAACACAAGAATAGAACCATGTTTATGATTACGCTCGCATACATCGGGTTACCTTCATTACTTCACTACTAACAGTCTCTTCTCTTCTCTAGTAAGTCACGTAAGGGAGAGGCGTTGCAGGCCGTTCGACTAAACTGCGCATGCGTGGTCATCAGGTCATGACTACATGTTTGTGAGAAAATATTTTTAAAAAATCTGATGTGTTCACCACATGACTTCCTTGTACGGAATAATAAATTATACGCACTTTTTCTTGCATTTTATTTAAACTTATTTATTTAAACTTATTTGAAGAAATTAGATTGAATTAAACCTACTTCGCCGACAGCGCATAAACCACAATAGAATAAATGCATTCTTTAAAATTCACTTTTTTTACCATAGCGACACTCTGGCGCTAAGTTTTACTTAACAGTATTATATTTCATTCATATTACAACTCAGAATGCACAAAATGTATATCATTTAAAGAATTATCTAATCGTTCCCACATATTCTATTCAAATATTATAATAAAGCTAGAACTATGTATAAAAGAAATTAAGCAAACAAAACAAAACAGAAACAGTTTTTCACAGACGATTGAGTATTTCTCATTTAATTAATTCAGTTCTCACTTCGCGAGAAGGCAAAAATACATAAAAACTCAAAATATCTATATTAAAAATTACGAAGTAAATCTCAAACGCTTATTTCCTCGAAAACATTCCAGAAAGAATTAAGCATGATTTAATTGGCAATAATATATGAATGCGTTATCTTTGTTGTTGCGAAGCTAAGTTTCTCTAGATTGGCAACAAATCCACTAGTCTCCTGTTTCAAATGTAAACACCAATGACCGCCATTAAAAACAGGCTTAGCGGCAAATAAACAACTTTAAAATTGCTGATAATTCTAAAAAATATTGCACACATATTTACTAAAGGCATACAATCCTTAACCGGAAGATAAAAACAACATAATTCAATCATTTTTAAAGTAAAAAATGTACAATTTACAAACATATAAGAGTAAAGAAACTGAGATTACTGAGCCGGGTAGCAGAGTGAATATATATATAAATATATTTAAATACGTTTGGTGCTGCCGATTGCAACCAAAATACGAGGTGCACATCTACATGTTATAGCAGTCCTATATACAAAATTTCAACGTTCTGAGGCTACTCGTTTTTGAGTTATGCGAGATACGTACGTACGTACGTACGTACGCACGTACGTACATACGTTCGTACAGACGCCACGAAAAATTCTCTTCAGAATTAATTTTAAAGCAGTTTATAATTGTTTTGAAGGAAAAGAGTATTTTATTCTGTCCTTACGTACAGATATGACGCAAAAACATCGTTAAATTGCATTAGATAGCTTTCAAAATGGATACTTTCGTTGAAATATGCTGCCTGAAACTTTTCGCGATTACAATACTTCCTTTTTACTTCGTACAAGGAAGTAAAACCGTATATAGAAACATAAGAAAGCTCCTGCAGAGAAGCAATCAATAGCGATTTTTAAAATATCAAGCCAAAAACTGTGATTCTTCATTTCATTTTTTACGTTTATATTCGACCATTTTACAGTACCGTTTCGAGTCACTCATCTTAATATCAGTCTAACTTAACCAGTTTCAAATATTTATTATACATATATTAAATTTCGAAAATGCTTTTAATATAGTACCAATAAGATATTATTTTTGCAATACAAAATGTGTCTACAAAATTTCTTATCCGTCATCTTCACTACGACTGGTTGTAGACGTATACATTTCCAGTTACAAAAATGCTTTAACCGACACGAAGAATCTTGTTTTCAAATTTTGAAATTTGAAGAAATCAGTTTTGTAAATCCATGCAATTTAACTCTTCAGATGTTTCACCGATCCCTATACTGATATTTAGAAAACTTCTGTATCCTTTATAGCAAATAAAACACCAAATCTTTGACTTCGGTATGATAAAAATTGGTCGAGATTAAAACCGAAAATAGTATTACTACGAAATGTTCAGCCGGGATGGAATAGCTTCCTCGCAAAGCAGGTTTAGGGTTGCATAAAATGACAAGAGAAGGCAGCGTTGCCATATTTGGGGAAAAAATTGGCGATATACCATAGACGGATGGAGAACCTTCTGGAACGAATTCTTACCGGTTTAGCCCAGAATGCTCTCAAACACAAGCCAAAAGCTATATAAACCCTACTGGTACGCGGAGAGTTAGTATTCCAGACTAAATTCATGTCATGCACTTTTAAGACTAATGCCATGCCGAGACAGACAGATTTAGTTTTTAAGTTGCTTATTTTTAGATGTCCTGCCATGCTTTAAGAAGACTGCCGAGCATGGCAGTCTTCTTAAAGACATGGCAGCATTCAGCATGGCAGCCTTCTTCAGCATGGCAGCCGTCTTCAGCATGGCAGCCTTCTTCTGCCATGCTGAAGCATGGCAGTCTGCCATTTATCCATGCCATGCTTTAAGAAGACTGCTCTTCATTTGATTTTGCCTCTTACATCACTGCATTATTGCCTATTGCTTAAGGTTTATCGCCATGCTTATCCCTATTTGGAATACCATGCTTATCATAAAGACTACTCTACACCTGAATATGTCTTGCATCTCGCTGTATTATTGCTTCATTTAACTTTGCGCTTAATTGCCAAAGGTAATAGTATGCTTGCATTTTCTAATAATCACCCACGGGCTCTTTTAAAATACCGCTATTGGCCATTGGCTCCAGTTTAATTTACTAGTAAAGACTCCCAGAAGTCGAGGCTAGAAATAATCGAAGTTCACAATTCACAGGAAAGTTAGTATCAAGTTAGGTAGTCCGTGCGGAGTCGATCGAGTTGACAGTCGGTCAACGAGTGCCGATGGGTCGTCGAGTGCACCGAAAGAATCTCTTAGTGTATCGCAGTTACCTCATCGTCGAGAGAGTGCGTTGAACTCCGGGAACGACTAAACCGAGGAGTCGGGAGCTGTACTCTAGTTTATCGTCGAGTGCATCGCGAGCTGTAGCGTGGAGAGTCTCGAAAGTACATGTAGTTCCGAGAACGACTGAGCGGAGTCGGGAGCTGTACTCTGGTGCTTTGCAGTGAAGCTGTCTTCACCGTTATAGCTTGATAACCTGAAGGCTGTATCGCTGAGTTTCAGCGTTTTTAAAAGCAGATCTTCGACGACTGTGTAAACGTGATTTTGGAGCTGTCCTGAGTGTGTTTTACTACTTCATCATCTCAAGTGTGCTTTACTACTTCATCAAGTGCTGTTGTCGTTATTCACTCCAAATCCGCACGAACCCCGTACGAGCGTGAAGGAAGAAAATAACGTAACAACTGGTGTCAGAAATTAGCGTAACAGTATTATAGGGCTATGTACAAATTGTAAAGAGAAATGATTACATTTGAATGTGACTCAGGTAAAATTCTATTTGGAAAAAGACAAGATTTTCTTATGTTACCGAGCTTTTTGATATTAAAATCGGAGATCATATCTGAAGGCTGTACACAAACTAAAAAGCGAAATTCTTGCTTTTATACGTATCTAAAATGAAATATCAGTTTAAAAACGTTTTCTAATTTAAGAGATTAAGTGACAAGCATTGATATACAAATTATTCTGATAAATATTAATCAATATACTACTTGTTTTCAAAAATGAAGATTATATTCATATAACCTTACATAATTTATGTTTTAGAAAAGCAGGCTAGCAGGCTGCTTTTCTTGCAGGCTTCAGTATAGGCAAATATCCAACTTGTAATATTATTCGCGTTAAATAACTATGAAAAATATATGCTGTTTAATGAATTATTTGTAGGATTACCAGACTAATTCTAAAGCAATAAAACCTCATAAAAATATTAATAATGCATTTTAAATCTTTAAAAAAATTATAAATTACTTGGGTGAAATTTCTTTCGGTTTGCCAAATCCTACAAAATTATATATTAAAAGACCCTAGTAAATCACAAAAGAATATCATCAAATGGCATGTATATAGGAAAACTTCAACCTCGAATTATGCAAATTTATTAATCAACCCTTCAATTCAAATTGCAAATAATTCAGAAATCGTAATTATTGAAATAAAATGTCTCCGTTATTTTTCGTCATATCGGATATCGGAGTCGCATCAAAATTTTCCTAAACATGCGTATAGAGACAAAATAAATGTATAAAAAAAAAAAAAAAAAAATCTGAAATGTTTCAGATTTTAAATTACGTCCAAAGGGGCGTTTTTTAACATTTTGTGTGTTACCTTTCTTTATTAAATATCATGTTCCTCGCACTTAAACCATAAGATCCAGTGCAACAGCAATATCGCAAAATAGTTTTAAAACGAGCATATCTTTAGAATTTCCGATACAGAGACTCACGCGCTGGAGATAAAAATGTTTTTTCTGCACAACGTTGCCATTGCTCGCTTTGAAATCCTTGAGTTTGTTAATCAAAAATTCGTCAAAGTTTTAAAAAATAGGAAATCGATCATAAAACAAATTTCAAATTTCAAATTTGGTCTTCCACATGCTCATATTCGTTGGAGGATTACGTTATTCAAAATTCGATGACTCTATGTACCGTTGTTTTATCACAATACGAGAAATATACATACATTTATGCAGATTTTTCATTATTTAATTTCTTCAAATATAATGCAGGACTCTAACATTTTGTGGCAACAGTTTGAAAAGTGAACCGACATTTATGAGTCCGACGCAAAATGCCAAAACGAAACTAATAGTCCTTCGGGATTCAAATCCCTTTGGATGAAAAACAAGATTTTGTAATTTTTACAAAATTTGTCTTTTTAATTTAAAAATGCTAAAGCATAATTTTTTCATCATTTAAAACGTTTCTGTAACTGGAAGTATATATCTTCGGTTACGAAAATAAAGGCTTTGTAAGGATTTTGTGAGCACGGAAGAGTATCTAACAAATAATTTTACTTACAATCGAAAATTATATTTAAAAAAATCATATTTTTCATTTTAGCCTGGTCAAGTAGTGACGAGTGGTTGTGAGAAATGTCAGTGTCTCAATAACACTCTGATATGTTCTGCTACACATGATTGCAAAGCTCCGGAAATAAGAACGCTACCTCCTGGAGTTACAGGTTAGTTCAGTTCGTAAAATATTACTTTCCTCATTATTTTTAAAAAAAGGCAAATGTGCGTGGTATAGCTACGCACATAGCACATGTTAGATTACCATATTCAACACACATAGTATATATAGGGTGGTTCTAAAATATTAGACAAAGATATAGAGGGAACAGAAATAAGCAAATTTTAGATTGTGTGTGCAGAAATGGCACATGTAAGTGCTAATACATTTACCAACAATTAACAATTGATAAGAAAGAAAAAGTCCAAAGAAACAAACATGTTAATGATTAAACCAAGTGTAACCACCACAGGCATAGACAAGTGATTCACAAGAGCGGCATATACAGATTCATAACAGCGGCGAACAGCGAATAGCTGCCTCTTTCCTGGTTTACTACACTGTCTGATTGAAAATTTTTCTGTGCACATTCATGAAGCAGTCTCGCTGTTACCGTCTGCAGTTTCTTTGTATCGATGCATATCGCTTCAAATCCGCACGGTGAATGATGATTTCCTCTCGCAGACCACTTGTACCTCCGAATCTCTACAGTATTTTTTTTTTTTTTTTTCGTTTCAAAGCGCCACATTTCCGTTACGAAATTTTCTTACTTTGTTCCCCTGCATTTTTGCTACATGTTTTAAAAACACGCTGTATAATTGTACTTTACTTTATATCTTAATATTTATACTACTTTAAATAATTAACATTGTTTGCTATTTCGGCAACTTGAAAAAGTAATAAATTTTCTCTTTTAAAGTGAGCTGTCTTTATAGTATTCGACTTATTATTTACTTAATTTTTACTCTTTATTATTTACTTGCCTTTATAGTTTTGCCAGATGTTTTGAAATGACCCTTTATAAATATATTTTAGTTTATATCGTACATTTATACTACTTTAAATATAAAAAGTAGTATAAATAGATAAAAATTTATTCAAAAATTTATATTCAAAGGTTTTTGTGTTTCTATTATTCGATATCATTTGTGATTTTCTTCTCATCTTATTATTTTTAATGCATTTAACAGATCTGTGAGTTAAAATGTAAGTTACTACATTAAAGTCAAGTTAAAATTTTAGATGAAAGGAGTATCCAAATGCTTACAGGAGAATATTCACTTTTATCTCGACTAAAGTCATTTCAGGCTTACAATTTCCTTACAAATATCTCTTCAAACAGATGGCAGTTATTTATTTTTTCCTTCAGTTAACATCAAAATAAATACTGTTCGATGATAACAAAAGGAGTTTCAGGAGCTTAAGCACCATACGTCCCCTTGAGATGACCTTCCAAACTCACTTTTCTTCTTATCCTCTCACTGCAAAAGTGCTTAAATTTATTGATTTGTATGGATGTTTGCTCCGGAAAGTCTCCTTTGTGAAGCGTAAGTCTTTATTTCAAGTACACTTATAAGAAGTTTTAAGAGCAAGTTTCGAACTTGAAGGGCTTTTACCGTTGTTAAAGTTCTTTGCTATGACTGAATGACTCAAAATAACTTGCAATATAACGTTTTGAAGAAATTTAAAATGAATAAATCATTTATCCTGTGTATAACTATAACAGTGGTGTTATTTCAAAGGTATCATTTCAAAAGTATAACGAAATAATAATATTTTAAAAAAATAAATCCAGTGAATTCTACGACATTCCTGTATTCGTGCATTTATTAAAACTCTATCTTTTATATTCTATTAAAGTTTGACTTTTGGACTTAAACAGAAAGTTGAACTAGTAGACAGAGAATGTCTAAAAATTGTTTTAGTTTATCTACGGCTACTTTTTATTTGTTGTATTCTTATTATAACCATGTTCTTCGGAAAGCAACTTGCTCTTATGATTTTCCCCTTTTAAATTTCGACGATAAAATTAGATAAAAAAATTGAAGTACTGGGGAAGTACTGGAAGAAATGTGGTACCGAGTGCATAATACATATTCTAGAAATATATTTTAATTATTCTACTGATTCAAATATGTTTTATAATTAAGGATTGATTACATTATAAATTATATACGAAAAATTTAACTTCCTTTCCCCCTAAACTGGCAACACTGATTTATCAGTTTACAAGTTTATTAATGCTGTGATAGCCTTACGTAATGGGATGCGAAGAACAAAGGGCTAAACTATACACATCTTACATTTAATCGGAAATAGATTAAAAGAGGTAAAATTTCAGACTCTGGCAATTTTGAATGCTTATTTTTTTAGTGAAAATTATGAAATTTAGATTTTTGTATGAGTATTCTGCAAGATATGTTCTTGTTAATAAGTTGCTCTTTATTTTATTAAAAACTTTCGGAATAAAAAAAGGTTCTGTAATGCTAACAAATTTCCAAATGGTAATTACAAATCAGAGGAGGCACAAATAAATGACAGTTTATAGGAAATATTCACTAAGCAGTTTCTACTTTCATAGCTACAATGCTACGTGCATTGGTTTGAGTAGTGGTAGGTTAGTATAAACATAACTTTGTTGCAGAGTTAAACAGTGACAGAGTTACGATTCACTAAGCAATAATTTCGACGAAATTCCTATTTCAATTTAGTTTAAAGTAAACTTATATTAGCAAAATATTTGATATTATTGATCTAAGCAAACTAAGCCACCTTAATAATTTAGCATTCTTCAGGATATCGAGGTATGCTGATAAGTGATATTTAACTGTCGAGACATAATTTCAGTATTTCTCATGACATTTCAGCAACTAAACTATTTCTAATAACATTTTGATCAACGACTTGGTCCGAAACTTCACAAATGAGATTCTTGCGAGTGCAATGTAAAAACCGCTATTTCTTGCTTTTGTAACTCAGATGTGATCTTAATGATAGATATATGAATGCGTCAACTTACGCGGTTTTTATTTCTCGATACATACAGATTTCCACGGTTCCATGTTAACCAGCTGTTGTAGTGAAAGTTTCTGCCTAGTTGTCTGGCCAGAAATTCCTTGTAATGAGAACATAAAAAGTTGTGTTTTGAGTATAAAAAAGTGTGCATTTTCTTCATTTAAAAATTATCAAAGAATATTTTGTTATACAATAAAACATATGAAATAAAGTAGAAGAATGTTTGCTATATAATTTGTTATTTAATTAAATATGGAAACATTTTAAAATCCATATAAATATCATAATACTATTAATGCCGCTGCTACTATTTTTCCATAGTTTATCCTGTAGATTGAAAATTATTGTTATTAATGCAATTATGTTTCTTTCATGTTAATGCCCTTAGTTACGTAGATTTTATTTACTCGATTAGGAACAGCTGTGGGCTTACCATACACACCACCAACTCTCGTTTGCAAAGATGGATGGACTGGTTGGTTGAACACCCATCTACCAGACCGTGACGGTGATACGGAATTGTTAGTGGATCTCATCGATAAAGGACTAGTTCCATGTTCCTTGGAAGACATTAAAGAAATCAATTGTCGCAACGCCAAAGATCCTCAGATCGAAATGCAAGACGGCGTCTTTTGCGATCTTAAGGCTGGCGGATTAGTGTGCAGGAACAGGGATATGATCAAGCCTTCTCGTTGTTCGGACTACGAGATACGTGTGTTCTGCTCATGCGCAGAAATACCTGAAGTAGCCAAAACCACTACTGAAACCACACTGCCAATATATGGAACAACTAAAATCTTTGAGGTTACTTCGCCTTGTAAGTAATTAAAATAAGACTTCTAAACGATTTTAAGTGGAAGTTTTGACTTTTTCACGTACTGTGGTACAGGGTTAATTAAAAAATATAAAGAATTGAATTGAAATGAACATAATTAATGTTTTCAGAAGACTAGATAAATTTAATAAAGAATGCTTTTCTATCCAAAATAGAATTGTAAGTTGCCAAAATGTAACAACTTCCTTTTGTAGTTATTGAACTTTAAATTTAAATGTAAATTCCTGAATTTCACTCGTTAATAAGCATATAAAAGTAGCTTAAACAATCAAATAAGTTTTTTAAATTTCGAAAAATCTTTCGAGTAAAATTATAAAATACATATATTTAATTTATTAAAAGATAGCAAACATTTTAAGTGTTTGTTTCTGCAGAGACAATATATTTAACTTTCATATTTTTATTAATCTGTCTCCCACAAGGTTTAAATTGTTTGCATAGATTTCTTTTTGCACTTGAGAAGCTTTCTAAACTGCCAATACATAACCAGAATCAACAATTTAGAAGAAAGTTTTTTTATCTACTTTTGCAAATATCCTATACTAAATATATTGCTTTTAAAAGTAATAATTATTTTATCTATATTTTATGATAAATTAATTTTTGAAGATAAATGCAGAGTACCCTCAACACTTTGTAAAAGATAGTGCTGCAAATTATTGTGTTATTTATCCGTATATCAAATTCCTAACAACTCCATATACCTTTTTTCCCATCAATTTGGTTTGGTTTAATACAAATGTCATGTGAGGATTTGAGGACCGGAAAACTCTCATTCACAAGGAAATTTAAGCGGGACAGCCCGAAAGTGAATGTTTTGTGTTCGATGCTCCAGGACAAGAATTTAGGAGCATTTTCTTCCATGCACAAACAACACCGGTCAGAGTTTACCTCGATGCATTGATTAATTACATTTGCCCACAGGTGAAGGACCGTTACCCAATGATCTTTTAGCAGGATGCCGCGCGACGACATTGGATATTGTGCGTTTGCAGTTTTCGCGACAGAACTTTCCTAACAAATGGATCGGGAGACATAGAGCTATTCCATGGTCACCACGTTCGCCTGACATATCCCTTTAGACTTCTTTCTGCGGGGCTATGTCAAAGGTATTTTTAACCTTTCGGAAGTCTCAAACTTTGCATATCTAAACACCAGAATCAGGAATGACAATGCAACCATTAATCACGCCATTTTTCGCCGTACATAGACAGAACTGTAATTCCGATTTGATATTTTGTGCTCAACCAACGCTGCGCACGTGGAGTAACTTGTGTCACTTGTCACAAAAATTTGAAGTTAAACACACAAACAAGCGCACACAAAATCTTATGAAAGGTGCGACTAGTACCAAACATATTAATTATTCCATTCCCAAACTACAAGCAGTTAAATTTGTTCCTGAGCTTTGTGAACACTCTGTTTAATACACATTTTTCTACAAAAGCGTAAGATTCTAATAACCTTATGTAAAGACAATATAAGTGTATTTTTCTATTTAATAACTGTCATAAAATATATTCGTGTAAGAAGCTTAAATAGAGAAATAATCATTGAAAATCTAATATTCTCATTTTAAATTATTAATTTTTGCTATTTGAAGGATTTTAGTTAATTACACATACTCAGGTAACGAAAACTCTCGCAAAATATTTCTTCTGATTTTCAAATATTTACCTTAATGTATTTTTTGACATTTCTGTTAACATTAACATTTCTGTGAAAATATTTGCAGTTTGGATTTAATGGAATATTTTTGTTCATTTTAGAAGCTTCATATGCCATACTGTTAGAATCTTCATAATATTTTAATTGAATAATTTCATCCACATTTCCACATTCATTTGTGAAACGTTAAAATGATTTGTTCCTATAAGAAACACGGAGTTCTGTTCTTCAAGGCGAAGTCTCTTCTAACTGCTGTCGAAATGTCCGACATAATAAACATAAACGGAAAGCAGAATTCACTTGGTGAGGTCTCACATGTACAGCTCGTTTCATCTTGGACCATACGATATTAATGTTTCATCTTCATTTTTAGTTTAACTTCGTAAGTCTGGATCCATCTAAATTTTACTGAGAATTTTCCGGGAATAAAGTATATAATTTGTTGACTGTAGTACTTTTGTCTTACAGTTATGCATAAGTAAAATATAGACATATGGTTATTAATGAAAATATAAAGCTCTAAAATTCCCATTTATCTAATTATTTAATTATTTAGAATCCTATGATTAGGGCAGAAGCTTTGTCGTCTTATACGTAATAACAGTAATGCCAGTCTATGGAAAATCGTACAATCTACGCTAACCTTAAGTCTGTAAAACACTAATGGTTGTAACTGTGATACATACATGAAAGAACAAATGGCTAAATCTTAACTGCAGTTTGCCTACAACGTTTATGGCTTGAAATAACTAAATCTGGCCATATAATGATTATTTACAGATGTATCTTGAACACTTGGGGAGTTACTAATCCTGACACTTTTTAATTATTAAAATAATATACAACTCAGTTGGAAAATCAAATCAAAATTTTATCCGCCACTCCTGATAAGTTTTACAAAGCTTAAAATTATAAGACAAACAAAACTGAGTCTTCATGTGTGAAATTTACAATGCAAGCCAATTACCTTGTTGGTAAAATATTAAAGTGTTGTATGTTAACTGATCATTTTTTATTATTTGAATATTTACTATAACTTTTCTTTTACGTTAAGCCTAACCAGAATGCAAATTAGACTTAAGAGCGTTCAACGCGAAGGTTATGAATGTTTCAGATAGAGAGCTTTTGGCAGCGATGCTTGCAGATTTCTTTTCTGTCGCCTAGTTCTGCCAGTTAATATTCCGTTTCTATTCCATTTGCTATCTGAAGTTAAATTGCACGATTGAAGTTTTAATGAGCTTAGTAGGTCAGATTTGTGTAATCTCGGACTATGATCGTATTTTAGACTCCAAATTTCACTTATGTTATTTTAATTCCCGCAGATGGCGGATTTTAGTAATAAGTTATACTTTCTATTTAAATTCTAGCTTATATTAAAAAAAGGTTTATTTAAAGCCTTCATCGTACAGTTTCAGTTGCAGCAATAACTCTCATAGAAGACTAATAAGACTTACAGGACATTGAGTTAATATTACGGAATTAGGACCCTATAAAATTCCGATTATCTAAAACAATAGCTTAAACGTCAAACCTATAACACGTGAATCGGGTCAAATATAACTAACTACTACTTAAACAGTATATCAAACACAGACATTACGATTCAGTACCTACTCTCTTCACAATTAGTGCAGGAGACAGCTGGCAGTATAGTAGCAATGCGATGCATCTTATTTTTCGCTTGCCATTCATTTTGCAAAACATTTCTGAACGAATATTTAAAACTGAGCGTGACAAGCGAAGAAAAATAGGATAGAATTTAATTTGAAAAACTAAATCTTAGCAAACTTAGGAATAATCGTAATATTCCTTCATTTTTTTATTTTTACAGGTGGGAATTTTACCCCTAACAAGATAGGAGGAAACCTTCCATTAATAAAAATACAATAAACTTACTTACATATTTATTTGGCTACCTGCTACGTCAACAGAGAAACGTATTTGATTGTTGAGCGAACGACTTATATGCGCGCCCTATTATAGCTTCTGTAATTGTTAATTTCTATTTTTTATTCACTTGAACTCGCGATCCATACAAAATGACGGTAGAGAGAAAAAGTAGTTTCACCAAAAACATTTAAATACATTTTTGAAAATTCACTGTTATAGTATCAAAATAACCATTTGTAAATTATTTCATAATACTCTAGCCAACGAATTTTAACCACTTGCAAAGTATGTAGATTATCTTATATTAATTATTCAATTACATTTTTATTAAACTTTCGTTGTCACTTCTACTTTTCTTTAGCTCTCTACAGGATGTAAATGAGATGCGGATATTAATGAGCAGAGCTCTTGGAAGTTAGACAGAGAGCTTTGAAAAACGACGTTGACTGTAGTATTTTTGCCTCATCGGTCACTGCCATGTATATTATTTGTCGTTAGCCGTTTCGCTAACAGACTCATTCGAGCAGTCATTCAGAATTTGAAACGATACTCGTTACGCTGTTACACTATATACCTCCAGCATGTAATTACTTTAAATTTTGAGTTCACATTGCTGCTATCTGAAATCCTGCCGGTTGTGAAGATTTAAATTAAGTGAAAGTGTGCCTCTATTCATTTTAAAGTTTTAAATGAAAAATATGTTTAAATGTTCCTCTTAGTCGCTTACTGTTTTAATACTTTTCAAAGAATTAATTAAAAAATGAAACCCTGCAAGTTAACATTTTGTGACCAGCTTTTTTTGTTTGTTTTCATCTAAAAAATTAATTTACTGCATTACTTTACAGCTTTCAAACTTGTGACTTTCAAAGGCGCTAAACCACAAGTAGGAAAACGTCCACATTTGGTAGGAAATTTAGGATTTATAATGACAACTCCAGCCTGCTCTGCTTGGTCAGCCTGGATCAACAAAAGTCGACCAAAGAAAGGGAGAAAATATGGAGAAAGAGAAGATACCCGGCATTATATTCTGAAGCAAACTGAAGGATTCTGCTCAGAAGTATATTTTCTTTATCTTATTCCGCTTTATAAAGAAGGGTCCGGACACAAAATTTCCTTTTTTTATTTATGAATATTTTAAATATTTTTCTCTGATATATATGTATATGTATACAGGGTTTCACGTAAATGTTGCGATAAACTTCTGGGTGAGGTAGGGCACGTCATATGGATTAGAAATTGCATAGAAACTCATGCCCGGAAATGTCAGGGGTAAGTGGTAGCAGAGGTAGAAAATGGGAAAAGAAACAAGAGTGATTAATTTGAAACATTTATTGGACATGAATACAAATGGTGTATGATAGCTTGACTGTTACAACAGATGCTCAAAGTTTGCATCATCAAACGCCAAACAAACATGCCTGACATCCAAGGACATGTTCAAACATATTTCCGGACATGTTCAAACATATTTCCGGACATGTTCAAACACACCAGAAGTTTCTTTGTTTGTAGCAGCCGCTTAGCCGAGTCTTGCCACAAGATCCATTTCAGATACAACAGGATCGTGATACACGAACTTTTGATGGCTTCCCACAAAAAGAAATCAAAGCCCGATAAATCTGGTGAGTGTGGGGGGGGGGCAAGAAACAGAAAACCACGCCCAGTCCATTGATTCGGCTATGATGTGTTCAAATGGCTATGAACACCCAGTCCAAAATGGGTGCACTTCTTAATGACCCGTAGCCGCACAAATTTTGATGCAGACTTGCGAGCAAATTGTGGTATGGTTGATGACTGTCGGAGAGCGTTCTCGATAAACGTGTGCAGCGATTCGTCCATTACCCTCAGCATTACAATAAATGCATGTCTGCAGGCTACCGTTTCGCATAGCGCTCCATGTTCTTCCTTTGGTACACTGCGCAAAAAAGGGGGAAAAGTTCTATATCTCCCGTTCTACTGGGCCGATTGACGAAATTAAACTTGCGTTTTTATCTCTAGAAAGCGCGACTTAGGATATGTATTAGATTTATATATAGCATACTTCTAAACACAAAATCGGACTTTTTCTGAAAGGGCATGCCATGTTTTTCCATATTTCAGGTCTACCACTCAAATTACGCCAAACTGCCAAGTTTTGTAAAACTCGCACGAGTAGTTTCTAAAAAATTAGCTCTCAAAATTGCAGCTCCTCAATAATTATGTGAGTTTGGTGTATATTTATTAATATTTCTTTTTTCATTAAACTTCTTTGATTTTTTCTTTCGTATTTCGAAATTCAGGTTCATTCCAAATAATATTCGCCTACTGTTTATGATTTATTTTTTAAATTTGTATTTTAAATAATATTTGTAAATTTTTTCAAAAAGATTTTGAATAAAAATTTCTAAGTATACCTGCAAAAATTTAGTTTTGTATTCAAAATTTCTGAAGATATAGGTAAATTTATATATTGGCCCGTTTTGAAATTTGACATATTTGTTGAAAGCGATAATTATATCAAATGTGGTTTAGTCACTTTGTTAAAATTATTTGAAAGTTGGAACGATGAGACTTTTTTCCCGCTCATGCACAATGTAAAAGAAAGGAACGATTCTTTAAATCTTTCCCACTCCTAGGTTCTTTCCCACTCCTGCGCAATGGCAGGGACAGAAAAATAGGTTGCCATATATTAAGAAGTTTGCAAAGTGAATTATTCTTGGCACAAACTGAAAAATTTCGCCAAGATAAATTTTTGAATTTCTCCGTAAATTACGAACCAAATTTTACAAAATTTAATATTTAGGCATAATTTGAGCCGTAGAATTGAAATATAAAAGTATTTGTATGTTATTTCAGAAAAAGTCAGGGATGATTAACATGGAACGAACATTCCCAAAACTCTCCTGTTTTAAAGTTAAATATATTTCTTAATTAGCGATTTTCTTTATTGTAATGTAACGTAATTTGTATTATGATTTTTTTATGTAATTTTTCTATGTAATTTTCTCTATTGTAATTTCCTCCATGTAAGTTGTTTTCTCTGCCTGCATTATTACTTTAACGTTTTACTACTATCGAAACATTTTATATTTTTAGATTGTAGAGAAACTTCAAATTTATGTGAAAATTTATAGTTTGAAAGTGTAGAAATATTTGCATGAAGTAACTTTGATGAGAAATGATTTATATTCTCTATTAGAATGAAATTCTCAAAAGTAATATTTAAGAGTATTCGAATTATTATTATACAACGTACCAGTTGAAAATGCGTTCTGTTATTTCTAAGTTAGCTTACCTCTTAGCTTTATTCGTACTCACTCTTTCATTCACTTATTCTTCTCTTTCATTCACTTATTGAATTGCGCTCATACACTGGTTCTTTACATTCACTAGTGAAGCAGCATAAGATACATTTCATTTAAGAATTTTAGGGCCTTTTTTTAAAATGCCTGTCTTCAATTTAAATAATCCATGCTAAATTTTACTGCAGTCTAAGTTTTTAGCGAAACTATGCAATATATGACTTACATGAAATACGTCTAGACGGGATGTAATTTTGGAAATCGATAACATATGAATGTTTATATGTAATGTGTGATGCAATATTCAAAACAGGATGTTTTATTTTGTTTCTGTATGCAATATGATATGTTTCTCTCGGACCAAATGTTAATTTCTCATGCAGTGAAATGAACACAGGGAAACAATTTCGTGATATAAACATCTTCTTCAACATTTTGTAAGATCATGTAAGGATAGATAATTTAACAAATATGCAGTATATATATATGTAATGTGTGATGCATTATTCAAAACAGAATTTTTTTTTTGATTCTGTGTACGACATGATATGTTTCTCTAAATGTTAATTTCTTATGCAGTGAAATGAACGTAGGGACACAACTTCATGATATAAACATCTTTCTCAGCATTTTGTAGGGTCATGTAAGGAAATAGAATTTAACAAATATACAGTCAGATACAAAAGCACAATTCTATTTAATACTTTTATTCTCGAAACAGAGTTTTATTGTGTTGATGATATCTGAATTAAGTTAATTATTTTTTATTATTTAAGAAAAATCAGAATTTTATTTAAATCCTTGGATTATTAATTTAATGTCTTAATATTTGGTTATCTAAATTCTTATATTTTGGGAAAAACCAATGCTTCAATGATATTTTTCTCTTTATTTAAACTTAGCCAAGAAAGCTTCGTTCCTTGTGAAAAGATTCAGGAAAAAGAGCGAATTTCGCTGCGTCATTCTACTAGGGTCTGACTCATTATCCTTAGAACATTCTAGAAAGAAATTTTTTTGTCTTGGTGCTAAGTGACAGGAGTACTTGACGAGAGGTCGAAGGTTAATATTTCACCTACGACAAATGGTCACTGTCTTGGCGATAAAAGTATCCAGTTTGGGTCCGGGTTTTGAATACTTGCGCGTGCGCAGTTTTATCCTTTTGAGTGAAAAAGAGGAAATTTAACGGTCTCTAACGGTCTCTAAAGGGGTCGAAAATCTAGTTTTACGGTAGCCTGTTTTTTTTTGTGATAAGTGAAGAAGAATTTTGAGTACGGACAAAGCCCACTGGAGATAACAGGCGGCTATTTCAGACGGCTTTGGTACGGGTCACTTTATGTTGTGTCGTCTTCAGTGAGTTATTCTTCTTGCAGTTGTAAGGCGGGGGGAGAGGCAATTATGCTCTCTGTCCGTAGGCCCCACTGGAAGTTCGGGGAACGGAATTTGCTTGACAATTAATGAATTATCTAGAGACTTTTGGCTGGGCTGTTTGTAGTTTGGTTTGGTTTGGTTTTATTAGATTACGGCAAAGCACTCGAGGGCTATCTGCCTTAAGGGAGGGATGCCTTCGTGGAGAACTTTCAAAGGGGAACTGGCTCGTATACACGTTACACATGGGGAAAACCACGAAAACGCCCATGCAGCCAGCCCGTTCGCGGAATTCGAGGGCTGTTTCTAGTATCATCTGGTTTCGACTCGGCTTCGTTTAACTCTTCGTCAACAGTTAACTCTTATTTTGCGACTATGGACGTCGGACTAATTGGCCTTGTCTAGACGCTGAGACCCTTTGGAGACCTCCTAGAAGTTTTGTTCTTACCTTGGGGAACTTCTATTTTTCCTGGAAAGACTAGCAATTAGAAGCAGTTAAGACTGGAGTTTCTCCCTGCAGTAGACTAGAGTAGTCATACGCTGGAAAAGATATGGTCCTTTTATACCTCGACGACTTATCTACGGACTGTATTTCCAAACATGCAATTTCATTTCGCTTTCGAATTTCGAATTTTCGAATATTTTCATAAAGAATATAAACTCTAAATATATGAATAATAGCATATGCTTTCTACGAAAACGTGACCATACTATTACTTGCACAGTTTTCATTATCTGGTTTTAAATGTAATTTTAAAGTAAGGATCTTCCGAATAAACTGAAAATATCTAACTTTAAGGTAAAATCAGAAATTTTATTTATGAACAAAACTTTAGTCTGCCTTTAAATTTCTTAATCGGCTAAATATTTTGGGAGTTTTGAAAATGCTTTCTTTTCAAAAGTTAACCACTACTCCGACTATAGTGAATCACTATTCTTCTTGAGAGGAAATAATAGCCCAGCGCCTTAAGGTAAAAGATAAAAAAAAGCATCTTCAAAGCCCTCGAGAAAAGATAAATATTTAATTTAGTTTTGAAAATGTCTTCCTGTCATAAACTGTGGTTATTACCGTCTGAACTGCCAAGAGTCTAGTGTATAAGTTGACCAATAAAAGTTGGCGAAAAAATTCTCAGATGCTTCCTTTTTGCTTTGTTTCTTGAAAAATAGCATGATGTGTCTGTGCACAAAATGCTTTACTTATATATTTATATATAAAATATTTCTTCGGAAGTTGTTGGAATAACAAGAAGGACTGAATGTAAGAAAATAATAAATGTAAGCATAAGTTCTACACCGCATCTAAAGATCTATTCAAATGTCATAAGTATTTCCATTAGTGCTATTTGGCTTTGTATACATAAGAAAAATATGCTATATCAAGACTATCATTATGTATTGAATAAATATATTCAAATTCTTTAGGGTTCGATAATAGCTATTGAATGCAGAGAAGTTAAGTCCGATATAGATTATACCGAAACTAAAGAGGAAAAATTAGTATGTGACTTGAACAAAGGATTTATCTGTCTTAACCGAAACCAACCGGATGGAAGATGTCAAGACTACAAGATTAGATACCTTTGTTCTTGTGGTAAGTTTCTGCCGTTTTGCTAGATCAATAATGAATTAAAGCAAAAGTGCCAAAGTGTTAAAACTAAGTTAAGCATAAAAGAATTCCTATTTCATTAAAGATAAATCAAAATAAAAACAATTATGCAGAATATTATGCACAGCGGTTTCCACATTATTTTGGGAGAAATAATAATATACATGTTATGATAATATACAGCATTATACGCACCGTTATGGAGCTTAGAAAACTGAGCTAGCTAATGGCTGATTGGATTTACAGATTTGAAATGTAACGTTACATCAGGATTATATTAACGCTGTTGATAAATTGGCTATTATTAATTTTTATTTCTATGTAACGCAAATGCAGGTTGTTTTCTTTTGATAAAAGCAACATTCCTAAGCCAGACAGGTGCTTTATAATAAATAATCTATAGTAAACAAAGAATGAGATAAGCGATCTTGTTTAATGAATGCATGATAAAACAATAGGTTATACCCAATCATCAATTAAAAATCATTTTCAGGCCCAGTGAATCAGATACCGTAAAATAATATATATGGATAGCATTTATGGCTACCTATTGAGAAAACCTGAAAAGCAAAGTTATGAAATGGTGCATTTAGAAAGGAGATATATGTCATTAAAAAGACTAAAAATCAGTTAAAAATCATAGAATTCATATGCAAAGCTATTAGAATATTCTAACTGAATACGTGCTTTATTTAAATATATGGAAAATAATTTAAGTGATAAACGAATGAGATTTTTTTTCAAATTTTTCCTTTTCAAATATAAGATCCATGTCCCTTAAAAATAATGGCTTTAGATCATTTTATGATTTTCAAGTAATTTTATATTACAAAGAATAAAAGTAATAAGTTATACATTTGCCACAAAATGAATCTGAATTTATTTTATACTAAAATAGTGACAATATCACACAATATAATTTATTCGAATTTCATGAAATTTTATTATCTTGCGTTTATTATTAAAATACCTTAAATTCATGTAAATTCACGAAAGAAACGGTTTTCGCGGAAATATTTATCTATTGAATATCATCAAAATAAAACCTACTTAAACTGTTATATATTCGTAAAAACAAACTTAATTTAATATAAGCCTCATTTTATGATTTCTAATTTATGTTTCACTAATACCATCGAACGTGATAAATTGTCAGTTTGTCTCGAAATGTTTCTGAATTTATTTTATGCTAAAACAGCGATAATAGAACTTAATATATAATAATTTATTTGAATTTCATTTACTTTTATTAGCTTGAGTTTATTAGGATTTCTTAATTTTATTTCAATTCGCGAAGAAATGTTTCGTAACAATATTTATTTATGAAATATTATAAAAAATACTTGAAAAATCAACTATTATTAAATATTTACGCGTTAACTTGTTACGTTGTTTACGTGTTGCATTATTGACTGCAGGTATTTTGCGCTGCAGATACAACCACTGAATAAGAAACACAGAATATTTCAACAAAGCAAACTGATTTTAAGGCAACCTTCATTGGATTTACCTGACGGAAATAAATAAGGGATGTGCATGTAAAATTAAATGTGCAAATAATAATATTAGTTATATCCACAATGCTAATTCAAGTCTAGAATGACAGGATCTACATTATTTTCTTGTGAACATGTCAATGTAACCTACCTTCTAAACAATTCCAATCCTCTCGGCGTTTTAAATGTCTTACACTACGGTTACTATTTCCAATTTCCAAATCACGTAGTGATCATCAAAAAAAAAAAAAAAAAAGAATCACGATTGTGAAATCTTTGATTCAAGTTAAATTAAGAAATAATTTTAGCAGTTGTTTTTCACAAAGTACCCAACTATAATTAAATAACCAACTAGGGAAAGGAGTTGGATTGATTGTGAAGAAAAGGTTAGATAACAAATTGCAGCAACCGCACCTTATTTATACGAATTGATCTATCTTCAGACAGTGCAGAATGCAGATGCAAGATCACAGATAAATGAGTGCTGGTGAAATAAGAATGAGAAAAAAATATAAAATATAGATGAACAATGTTTTAATTTTATCTCAATAATAAATTTAATTCTTAAAATGAGGAATTTAAGTCACCAAATAGGATGATTGACTGTCTTCAATGTTATTGTCTAGTTTTAATTTAATAGTTGGGAAATTCTATGATATAAAAATCGAATTATAATTACTTGAAATCAGATACTACGGAATAGGATTGGATTGATAGGGAAGAAAAGGTTAAATAGCAAAATTGCAGCAATTCTGATGCACCAGTCGAACTGTAGAAACATTAGGTATTTTTTGGAAGCAAGAGATGTGAAAAATGAGCAACGCCTTCGCCGGGAATTGAACCCCGGACCTATAGAATACGCACCCAACTTGCTGACCACTACACTACGAAGGCATGCTAAGAAGGCTGGAGATATACCTTATAGAACACTGTACAAATTTATAGCCTTATCGCCAAAGATGAGAAGTTTGAACTTGGTTTCGTTAAGCAGATGTATTAAAAGCTGGAATTCATTACCTATTTTTAATTGCCATTTGAAGTACTATTGAAACCACTATCTTTCATTATAATACTCAAAGTCACATGCTATTAAATTGCTAGCATTTTGTCATATAAGGGTAATTTATATTTTAGTTATAATAAACAAATTACGTAAGTAAGTCTTGGAAGATTAGTCTGTGAGTTTCTTGGCTTTACCGATGAATAAAGAGCTAAAAAATCTATTTCCTAGCCAAATATATGTTATTGTTTAATTCGTTATGGCAAAGCACTCGAGCGCTGTATGATTTAGAGAAGGATTGTGTCGTTGGACGACTGTCTAAGAAAAAATGGCTGTTATATATCTTATACTCCGGAAACACAGCGAAACTGCCCATACACGCAGCTCTTTCGAAGGAATTAGAGCTCCAATCCGAACTGCCAACGTTCGGCGATTTTATTGCAGGAAAGTGGTAATTCCCAACAGGAACACATTCATAAATTTTGTGGAGATACAAATTGCTATCATTTAATTCCTTATATCATTAGTCAGGGAAAAATTTCCTAAATTTGCGTTATCATTTAACTTTGTAGTATCATCCAAATATTACATTTCTTGAAAATACAAATTAATCATGATACATAAAATATTCTATGAAAGAAAAATTTTAACCAAGTGGTGATGGTTTACACAGGTTTCTAAAAATTTCGCCGAAAATTGAAAAATCGTGATAAATCGGATAATAATAGTTTGAAATCCTTGAAATTCGGAAATATTACAAATAAAAACATACTGCATCGGCGTAGCATTAAGCAAAAGAGTGCTGTTGCCAACGCTTTATATAAATATGATATAGCTTAAAACCAGCTCTTTAGAAAGGAATTTTTACTCTATGAATGACGATATATTTAACAATTTCGAGTAATCCAAAAAGTACAAAATAAGGTCGAGGGGGCATTGCCAGCATGACTGCGTTACAGAACCATATGCCAGCGAAAGCAGTTAAAGACAGGCTGACACTGCAAAATAGTTAAATGTCGACCATACCTAAGTTAGCCATTTGTGGAACCAATTTCTAACTACTGGTTTAACCTTTCAAAAATCTACCGAAGGTAGGCCAAGAGTTACCACTTTTGCAGATTATTTGTATTAGCGACTTACTGCTATTCCAGAAGGACTAAAACTCCATCTCACCTTCGATCCGCGCTTATTTCTGCTACAGTATTAGGCATGACAATATGCGAAATGTTTCATGAGATGCATATGCTAAGCGAAAGGCAATGTATGTCTCGCTTACCTCCCGCCACCGTAAAAAGCATTTGAATTTGTCGTGTAAATTGGACTGAAAATCAGTAGTGGTCAGTTCTGTTCACTGATGAGCCAAGTTTAATGTACAGAATTATTCTCTGTGTGTTTACATATGGAGCAAAGCAAAGACTCTGTATCTTCTTTCTACAATATGCGACAAGGTTACCTACGTAGGAGATAGTGTTTTTATATGGGGAGGTGTATCTTTAGATGGCGCAAAGACCTGTATGTGCTGCCACATAAAATCCTCAATTCTCAGAGATACAGAGACAACAAACTGGATCCTATTGTTCGTCCGTATACTGCTGCAGTTGGTGATACCTTCACTTTGGAAGCAGATAATGTTCGCCTTCCCACTGCTCGCCTTGTGCACCAGTTTCTTGAAGAAGAAACTATGAATCAAATGGTATAGTCAGTATGCTTTCCTAAGCTTATTCTCAATGAGCATGGTCGAGACTCCCTTGAAAAATGTATTACTGGCCTCCATCTCGCTTCGAAAACCTTATATTGGCTTAGAAGTGTTTTACATTATCAAAGGGCATTGATACCCATGCAACTCAGTGACAACACCGTAAACCGCATGAGACAATGTTGTCAGGCTTTTAATGTTATTCGGGTGATTGTTCGTGGTGTTGAGAAATTTTTTTATTTAATTTGTATGTCCTAATTCCCGTTGATATCACAAAATTTAAATACCCTGAATTTTTGTCGGCGTGTTTTTTAGTTACAAGCGGCATAATAAACACTATCACTAAGTTTTGTACAGTTTGCTTCTATACTCATTAAATTATCATGTTTTGCATTTACTGCTAAGATTATGGAATCCCGGGTATTTTTCATGCTTTCTGGCTAATTTAATTTAGAATCTTTCCAATACTCCAAGCTACTATAGTGTGCCCATTTTCCTTACCTTATTCAGTTTCTAAAATTATTTGTTGTAGCTAACCTAATCAGAAACAGCCCACGAATTTAATTATAGCAAGGAATGAAAGATTGCTCTGTCGTTGGCCTGAGTCTTGAGCACCATTTAGCGCGATTTTACTCAGTTCCGCTCCAGTTTTGAGGGAAAGCACTCCAAGGGACGGGCTTTAGGGTTTCAAACCCTCTTGCCTGGCACAAATCCGCTTGAGAAGGACCTTCTACTCGCAGTATACTTTTAGTGCCTCCATGCCGCATAGGCACTATGCATTTACAAACATCCATAACATCCATGCTTGCTCCGGGATCCGAAACCGGATCTTTCGGTACGGTAATCAGCATTACTAAGTACTATACCTTCTGGGTGGCTTTAGTTTATGCTTGCTTTAAAAAAATGCTGACGTAGAAACGTAATTTTCAATTAATTTCTTATTCTTTGCTAAATTCCTTTCTCTTTAAAATGGTGTTCATAAAGCAGAATAATAACTTTCATAAAAGACTTATGTAATGAATAATAGCTGCCATTTTTTACTGGAGGGGTTGAAAAATAAGAGTTTTCAGAACTCATATAACAGCTAACTACTTAACTGAACTACTTGTTACAGTTAACAACTGGCCTTAGGAGTTACACAGCTGGTTGGGACAGTTATTACCTCTCTGTACTTCTTACTGTGAATATTAATACAGCTCAATAGGTAAAGGCTAACGTAAAACATTTTATTTCTTACAACTTATGGAATTTACAACTGAAATAATACAAAACATTGAATACAGCTCCTTGTTGACAGAGACTCGCTATTCAATCTATAATATGTTGGTTGACTTGCAATTTAAACAAATCTACACGGAACCACAACACTGTCTGCATCGGATGGTAAACACAACTCTCTACACTTACCAAATATTGATAACGTCAGGCGTTCACATTCAGTAATCGGATAGTAATACCAGCTACCTTCACCTTCTTTAACCAAGAAGCAATACCAGTGGACAGAATTAAGCTCGGAATCATCGGTTAGATTAAAAACATTAAGGTAATTGAGAAAGGCTTACAATACTTTTGCATGCTTGAAACCAGTTCGTATGATTTTACATCAGTTTATATATACGTCACGCTGGTCACAACATGAGATGTCTGTCGTTACTTTATATTTGGACCAGAGTCTAATTGCTGACATTTCATTCCCAAGCTCTTTCAGCGGAACGTGCTGGTTGCATGGGCGTTTCCTGATTTCTTCCATTTGTAAAGGCATACCTTCTCCTGGGTAGATAGCGCTTGTGTGCTGTGCTGTAATCAAATCCACACGCTCCTGGTATCTCCCTTTCAATCTGACAATATTAAAATTTTTGTGTTTAAAAATAAAACGCACAAGGTTTGTCTCTCTAAAAGAAATCATGCTTTCATTGAAAATATTCTAAGGAAAACTGGTTGACATATTGGTTACAGAAGAAGAAAGCACTTAACCAAGACGTAATGCAAGTTCTTACTTATTCTGCTACTTCCTTGTATCGAAACCGATGCCAATGTAATGATATAAATTATTAGTTATTTTAGAAATCCTATCATGGATATTTTTTGTATTATATCTTGTGCTTGGAACTAATGTGAAAATCATACTAATGTTTCACGCCTTTGACTTTATAATCTCTAGTGAGTGGATAAATTTGTCCTGCTTTGACAGTTACATATCTAGGCCGGCATTCTGGAAAAAGTAATTGTTTACGACTCACCACTCATTAACATTGCCCTTGACGAATATGGTCCCCAAAGGGAAGTAACTCAATTATATTGTTCGAGAATGGGTCAAATAGCGAAATGAATCGAATGAGCAATGGGAAGAAGAGAATCGAAGCAATCCAACCGCTAACTGCTGGACATATTTTCTTCAGCTATAATTTTTAGATTTTCTAATGTGCCTTTTCTACATAGAATTAACAAAATAACAAAAATATTTTGAAACAGAAACTATTCAAAAATTTTGACAAATATTTAAGTTAAACTCACTTTAAATATAAGAGGAGAAGCTTTTCTTTTCTTTTAACAAGAGAAATCAAGCTTTCCTCGAACTCTTCCAACATAAACTCTTGGTGGATCTCTCTAACAAAGCCACCGTTCCGTTTTGCAGAATCATTATTCTCTCGCTCAGGAAAAGTGAATATATCTTTTGAATCAGTCTGCGAATGCATAGACCATTTCTACTGTCTAATAAATTATTGTTATATTTTCTCTTTTGCTTTATGATTTAAAATAAATTTCCGGAAAATGTATTATTATTTCTTTTTTTCAGAAACATTTTCAAAAGCTTTATTGTTTGTAAGAACTGTTTCCTAATATTTTTCATTTTTGTTGATAAATTTCATAAACTTTTAAGAAATAAATTATTTTCCTTTTCAGAAGAAGTAACTACACAGCCTTCGCTTTTTATAAAGACAACAACACCGGCCTATATTTGTAAGTCAATTTTTTTCATTGCTATAATATCTGTGTTGAAATTCTTAATATGTTTTTAAAATTTAATCACTCCTTTAACTAATTTCATTTAATAGTGATATTTAAGATACAGGCTGCTTAAAATGTATTTTACAAATTCGGTCTATAATTCTCTAAAATATTTTTTAGATTCGTATTTTATTTTTTAATTGGTTTTAATAAAGTAGCTGTTCGTATAATGTAACCTTACTAAATTAAAATATTTCAGTTAAAAAAAAGTTTCATTACGGACCTAATCTACCAATACATTAATTAACTTGTACATAAATATACTAACATAATTGGATGAAGATACAACATAACAAAGATTTTGAATAAATCTCAGTTGATTTCGAGGGTGTCTTTTTCAGAAGCAAAACATGTAGGTTTTTCACATTAAACCAACGGGTAGGTAACCCGCAGCGAAAGGTCTGAAGCAAAGGAGAGATTAGTGTCTCAGAAACTCAACTTAAGTCAAGAAATGAAAAACAATAAAAAGTCGATGAGACAAACAAATAATTAGACATGGAACTGGCGAAATAAAAACAAGCCTTAACTAAACTATCAAGTTCCGGTTGACCATTTATAAATGAATCTAATTTATTTATAAATTTATGGCTCAATGTTAATTACAAACACTACTCATTTTTGTTATATCTCTCATACAATGAACAATTATAACTATACATGCTCATAAACACATCATTTCTTATACTTTGATTTGAAAATATCGTATCGATCGTAGTATGGAAAACTTTTGCCAAAACCTAAGTCGTGCAACCCGATTTTGCATATACGCGTTTCTTAATTGTCTAGATTCAATTTGTCCAACGCGAGAATTTCAATTATACGTGCTATGCTTTGGAGAGTCGACCGCGTTGTGGCAGTCCTTTTTAATGACTGCTTTGATAAATGATCCATTAAAGAAGGCAAACATTATTTAAAATAGTGAAACCTGAGCTTTAAATTCCTCTTAATTCTCGATAATGCTCCAGGATTCGATATTGAAGTCCTCACAACATTTCATTCAAATGTAGCGGTTTTATTGCTACCAGAGAATCAAGGAATAATAAAGCATTCAAAGTTTCTTACGTCAGGCACGTTTAGCGAGACACACTAATTGCATTTTGGAAGCAATTCGACACTGCATAGAAAAAATTAAACTAACATGGCAACAAGTAAATTCATGAACAATAAATGTTTACCGGCATCAACGCTATCAGAAAGTTTACACAATTTTAAAGGATTTCAAGCAATTGAAAATGAAGTCGAGGAAATCGTACAAATAGCAACAGCAATAAGCAGCAAACGGTTATTCAAATTCAGATATGAAAAAAGGAAAATTCAACGAATTAATGAAGAATGACTATCTTGATGAGGCAAGTGAAGAACTCGATAAACACTAGCCGATGGTGAAAGTAATAGGGAAGAAGATAAAGATCTTTAGCGTACAAGAAGTTAAACGAATATTTAAAAAAAGACGCTGAAACTGTGTGATTTTGCTATGGATATTGGCCCAAATGAAGAAAGAAATTGAAAGAGTTATTGAAACACTTTTTACCCCTTACCACGAAATGTTTAATGAATTACTTCAGATATTTTCCCAAGCAAAAATCACCAGCAATTGTAAAAAATAGTTGTATCATGCACAAGATGGCAAAGTTTTAGGAAGGTTATAAAAACAACTTTTTTATTTAAACATGACTTTGAACATAAAGGCAGTACTTACAAACTACCACAGCTATTGGTAACACAAACTAAAATAAGAACAATCGATAAATTTAAATATTGAGCTGTAAACTAAGACTACACAATTAAGTACCAAGTTTTAAGCTGGCTTGATAAATTTACCGACATATCAGGTTTAAAGTATCAGCGACGAGAGAAACGCAAAGCCGATTAATTTACTTTTAACTAGAGCAGATAGCGTCTACACGTAGTGCGCAAGCCTAGAGAACTCTCTGTCTCAAATCTAAATACCTCAGCTTAAATACTCAGAACTAATTTGCATTTTCGTGAGAAATATGGAAATAATAAGTTATAGTAAAGACCGAAATCATAATAACTGGTTAATTAAAGTTCTACAAAGTATTAATATTTTTTTAAATTTTTTCATACGTGTAATTATAGTAAAAATAAATTGCGCAAATCTTCATCAATAATCGCATTTAGCGACATTTTCTAAATAAATTATTTCCTATATTTTTGAGTACTATATAGATTTCTATTAAGATTCTACAACGCGAAAGTCTGTCTATCTGATCTACCACTACCTATAATCTTCGTGTTCGAATTTTTACTGATTACATGCCATTTAACTCATACATATCTTTCCTAGTTTTTAGGAGAGATTTGTTACGGATTACTTATACTTTCGTTAAGGCATCACGTCTGCTTTCTTAAATCTGTCTTTTCGAAAGACATACTTCAGCCTCAGGCAATTAATAAAATTCTGCAATTTTTTTTTTTTTTTTTTCTTTTCTTATGTGTGAGATTCCTTAATCTTCAACCCAGTGCTGTGACAACTTTAATACAGATACTGTTGAACGCTTTTACTTAATGTTTTCCATTTTTCAGGGAAATGGTTATCTTTATTACAAAATTTCTCAATCTCTGTTCTCCAGAAACTTAAAAGTTTCGGGAGATCTACATTTTTCACACGTCACAAGATGAATTTGGAGGTTATGTTAATTAACTAGTTACGTTAGTCAATTGTGCATTTTGTGCAAGTGATTGAATTAAGTTGTTCTTATGTTCCATTTAAGGTTTTTATGTCTTTATTTAATCTGCATGTAATAGTTGTAGAATTATAAACAATTTAAAAGTTTAAATGACGCCAGGTCTAACGAGGCCACCATTTGTTTACGTTTGAAATGCTTAGTAGAATAATGAATTAAGTCATTTGGTGCCATAACTTAAGTGTCTTTTTTCCCAGTGGCACCAAAATTAAATTTAAATTTTGTGCACCGAAATTTTGTCTTCTTGACCGTTCTCCGAATTTCTTGTTTTTGCGTACAAACTGTAATTGTAATCGTAAAATTTTTTTTGAACTGTTTTAATTGTTTTTGATGTTTTATGTATTGTAGAATTTTTAATGAAGGCACTTTGAGTTTTTATGTATTTTTGACTTGCCACAAAGTCAGAACTGAATTAATTGAATGAGAAATATATCTCTAATGAAATAAGTTTCAATGAAGTGCAGCAATAAATTTGCATAATTTAATAAACAGTTCAAATCATGTGGTGCCTCCATTAGATATTTTTTTTTATTAATTACTTTCTCAAGAGATTACAATTTTTTTATATTTGGCGATTTTTCACCCGCTCAGGCATTAACTAGCAGAAACAGAGCGAAAGCATTTCAAACTAAATAACTCGCTTATTATGATTTGTGTCTGATATATACGCATAACTACTGAATTTTCTTGCTAATGACTGGGCCAATATGCACGAACAGCCCAATAACAATAATAATCAAGGCACAGACTTTTTAAAATTTTCCACAATACATGAATACGTTATAAAATTCCACATTTCAGAAATTTAAGTCGATAATGTGCACTGTAGTATTTAAATAGGTTGTAATTAAAAAGTAATAAAATTTTCTTAGATTCTCATTTTTTTCTTTTGGAAATCATATGTACTACATTTATCTTTTTCTTCCTTCGATAACCATGTTGACATGCTTTCAGAATTTTTTTGGCAAATTATATGTAAAAACATTACGCAAAGCATGCATGCTTTTAAACTTGAAATTAATTTATTTACTATTATAATTAAACAGTTTTCCTATGAAATGTAGTGTTTCGTCGGACAGAATCCGTATTATTTCACTTAAATCTTCATTTACGTCTTTGCACTGACCTTGTTTTAGGCTACTTTGCTGGCTGCTGAAATCAAGTTCCTCTTTTTAGCGCTTTTGTATTAGCTTTTCTTGGGCTATTGCATCTTGAATTTCTTAGTTTGATAAAATCATACAACATTCAATAATTTTTCCTTAAATATTAGGCTTTAAACATAACATTTCAGAGTAGTCCATGCAGTTATCTTTCAACGCACCATCTTATTTTAGTATACCAGCGTTATGTTCGTTTCTATGAATCAATGTTAATTTTAATTTCATTCAAGCCCTATCAATGAAATGTACTGTAGCAAAAAAATCATGAGACCCAAACACTAAAAAATTTTGGTGTTTCCCAAATACTAATCTTTCTTTAATGATAATAGGACAAAGTTAAATAATCCACATAAAAGTAATCAAGGGATTCAACATATTTCAGAGCTCAATTAATGCCTAACTTTCTGTTGGGATTTGCGAGGACTAAACAAAAATTACGGAAACAACAACAGGAATTCAGTTAGTTATTCCATTTGAATTCATCAAAGAGTTTTCTAATTAAACTTAAGTTTTCTCTCTGACTTGGAACAACAAATAGTTAATTTCAAATTACGTAACGCTATGGCATAGCACCAACTCTACAGCAGGTTTACTTATTCAGCTCTCTTAAGTCAACTGTTAAGTAAGCTGAAAGTCAGAACTTGTAGCAGTAACTTTTATTAAAGAATAAAACTTTCTGTTAGTTTTTTTTATGTTTATCTCTCGAAGCTCGCTGCATTATTCCGACTAGGTTGCATGCTTCTTTCAAGGAATGTTTTCTAAAAGCGCTTTTAGTTTTATATAACAATCTGTCCTTGTATGTTCTATATCTCTTTTCTTTTCGAACGTTAGCTATCATTATTATAATAAACATGGTATGCTTTCACGAAAAAAGCAAAAAAAAAAAGATTTCAAATAAGGAAACTTTTAAAAGCAAAAAATAAAGTCCTCTTACTTAACTTTCTAGTTTGGTATCAGCTTATACAGAGAAGAGGAAACAGTAAATAAAACGACATTCATAAGTGCATAAAGTCGAAAGCGTATTCATAAGTGCATAAAGTTTATATGTAATGAATTATTTATAGCCATAATATAATGGATATACATGTCATATTTATATAGTATTACTTATTTACTGAAATGAAATGTATTTTAATATATGCATACATTTATGTAATAGCTTTCTGAAATCTAATATAAAAAAGTACTTTTTTAAAAATTCCTCCAAGGTATGAACATTCCTGATTATAATAATTCTTATGCGGGAGAAAATATTCATTCAGATTCATAGTTACTGAGGTGTCTTAGGCATGCAGAGGTTTTCTTTTTTCCATTGATGTTTTATAATATAGCAGACGCTGCTTAATGTAATCACAGTTAATATTATCATACAGTTAGTATTATTAAATTACTGAATTGCGGCCTGTTTGTTTTCGAAAACATGGAAAATACATGGCTTACTGTGATCAATAGTTAGGTTCATGTTATCAAAATTTTGCAAAACGAATTTATCCACACTAAGTAAATTCTTCAAATCAAAATTAATTTTAAAAAATTGCTAATTATCTGAATAATGTCACCACTTAAAGGATTAATTCAACAACCTGTTTAGATTTTATTTTAGTCAGCCATTTAAAACTAGGCCGAAAAGCAACCATTTATTCAGTTTGGTACAGATTTTGAGAACGATTGTTGATTTCGAGAACGGTCAGATGTAGATTTTTCTTCTTCAGACAAGAGAAGATGACAAGTGATATCTGCCAGGGGCTTTCTGAAACAAATCCAATCACATCATGTAATAAACTTGCTAAAGAATGTAAAGATGAAATCGGTGAATCCCCTATAAATGCTAAAATGAGGAACGCCCTGCGAGTATTGAGATTAGGCGTACAACAGCTGTCAAACAACGTGTAGAAATGTTAGACAATGTTCATAAAATGAACTTTTTCATAAGTCTTGCAGACAATCCCACCAGTAAAATAGAAGTATTTATATGTTTCTGCTTATGTTTGTATCAAATTAGTTAAATTCTATTGCTGATATGAAGGATATTTTTTCACATTGTTTAATGTTATTATTTGGTTAATGTTATCAAAAAAACCCGTAGATAGACGTGATCCCATTAAGACACCGCCTACAGTTATAACTACTGCAGGAGAAAATATTCTTTTGGATTCATATTTATTGAAATGCCTCACAAATGTAGAAGTGCCTATTATTTCTCTGTTTGCTTTGATGTTTCATGAAATAACTTTGTTATTTTTTCCTTTATTTCCTTCCGACACGTTTCATTCTGTTTATTTCTTGTATAAAATGTCGCATGGACACACGTTTTCTATTCTTTAAGTATTATTAAATTTCTAACTAATGGATTCTCGTAAAAAGTGACACATTCAACTTGAATATAAGAACTCTGAACACCTTAAATTCTATCAAAATGAGGGGAAAACTTGTTAAATTTTTCCCAGTATACTCTGCGTGTGGATGGCATCCTTGCACACTCCTATGTTTTCCTTTTAAAAACAAATATTTCAGTTTTTGATGTAAAACGCATAATTTGTTACATATTGATTAGCATAATGCAGTGTTTCCTTTTTATTTATTCTTATTTTTCACTCAAAACCTATGTTATTTTATGCTTTGAAGCCTTTCCTTACGCTTTGATTTCTGATGCGTCTTGCAGAAAATAAAGACATATTTTGAGGCAAATGTGAATTTTATCTAAAATCTTATGTGGCATTTTATTATTATATTTTCTTAGTAAATAATTTACAGAATTTCTGTAAATAAGCACAGAAACTGAAAGCTCCGAATTATATCTTTTGTAATATTTTATAAGCAAAATGGCCGTTTGTTTTAAATCTTCACCAATGTGAATCCTGTTAGATAAAAAATTTCTGCTTAAGCAGTAAAGTCACGTATCGAATGGGAGCCATATTGAAAAGAGAACAATATCCCGCTTCTGCTAATAAGAATTATAATTATTCTATTGTGACTTAACTGTTTAAATTTTTGCGTCAGTTCTTTTCTCAAAAACTATTATTATAATCTCCCACTCTCCAAAAAATACAAAATATGCACTATTAGAAATCAATTACACAATTGAATATCTAAAATTATTTTCCTTAGTGGTTTATTATATTATTCTACAGATCCTTGTGCTGATTTTGTGCCTTTGATCGATGGTGAGAAACCGCTACCAGATTCTAATATAAAGGCATCTAGTAGTGCCTCATCTAATAGTGGACCTGATGCTGCACGTATGAAAGCAGGTAAATTAAACCTTTACGGTATATATTGAATTAAAATTTAAATGTGAAACGGGTACAGTGATATATCAAAATTATATAAGTGGTCGATTTGTGGATGCAGATTGCATAAAAATGCACGAATATTTGAGGTTTACGATGCATTTAACGTAAATCTATTTTTACAGAAAGCTAGAGCTTTTATGCTCACTGCTTTGGAGGGGGATATTTTCAATGATGCAGTAATTTTTTGTAAATATTTATTTGTGTTTATTTGTTTGCATTTTATATATCTTTGTAACGCTATATATTGATTTTATTTAGCGCTATATATTGATTTTATTTATTTATTTAGCGCCTTTTATTTAATAATTGTATTGTGTACTTCTACTTACCTGAATCATGGCCACAAATTTAAAGTGTTTATTTCGTGCATTATTGCTTAAATTTTGAACTGATCGATTAAATCGATATGAGTTGTAAAAACAGATCAGTTAGAACCAGAGATTTGGGCAAAATCCTGCTAATAGTCATATTTCACTAACTTTTATCACCAAATTTGCGACATTTTGCGATTTTTAACACGTTTGCAACATTTTGGAAATTAACCGAAAACGTATTTTTGGAGCTCTTGGAGCGATTTTTTCTCCTAGTTTTTATAAGTGCTTGGGTAACCCTATAAATATCAATTGCGATGGAGCAGTGAATCAGTTCCATTTGCTGAATAATTCTGAAGCTCCTGTTTGGTAATTGCCGCTTTGATCTTTCTGTGTAAGTGATTGGCTCCTCAGCGGTCAGGAGGTGAACTCGCTGAACACTTGTAGTTCGAACTAGCTTCAAATCCGGCGAGCGAACTGGCTGCATGTTGTTGTGGTTTCTGCCATTTGTAAGGTAAGTAAAAAAACATTTTCCCTTAGAAAGTCATACACAAAGGCATCCCTTATCCCTTCCCTTAGGCAGATAGTACTTTGCCGTAATCAAACAAACGAGTAATTTTGGTGATCTTTGAACTTTCTAGTGCTAATTAGAATTTGCCTTACCACTATTTCTCTCTCCTTAAGCTACACATTGCCGTTTATCTTCTTATATGAGTTTTACTTCAATAAAGTGTTAATTTCTTTCTGTTCATCTCGCGTAATTATTCAGAATGGTTATTCGGATCGGTACAAACACGCAGAGCGTAATACTATTATGGTCACTCTAAAGACATTGTATTTTGTTCCCTATCTTATATCTAAACTATCTGTACACTATTTTCCTCTGTGGAAGTTAAAAGAATGCTTACATTACATAATATAATGAATGCTGCAGTTTGTTATTTTGTGTACGTCTTATAATGTTTGGCAACGTTTGAAGCAATGTGACTCAAGCACTCTGGTCAACTATCTATTCCATTTTTCAAACAATTTTCATTATTGGTTTTAATCACGTTTCTTTATTTTATATCAAAGATATAAAAAATACTCGTTTTAAATTCTTCATACGCTTATTTAATTATCTTAATCCTTTGGCTTCTTTCCTGTGCAATAGGTTCTAATGTGCTCGGAAGCTATATAATTAGGATATAGTGAGTGAGTGTCATATGAACATCAATTTTTTAATTATATACTTTGATTTTTAATGTAAGGTTATGAATGATATGCTCTAATACACATGATACATATAATATAATTTATGATAATACATATAATATATGATATGCTCTAATACCGTTTTATAATATCATTATACTGACAATATATTAATGCTAGTGAAATCAGTCGCGAATTTACGATATGAGAGTTCCACTTGATTTGGGAGCTTTTCATCTAAAGGGTATACGGTATGTTTACTATTCTTTAGAAATTAATTAATAATTTGGAGTCACTGAAACAAGGGTCCCTATACGATTCCGGTTGGTGTGTTACTCCACAAATCCACATACGGGTAAATAAATGAAGTGGCAGGAAGTAATACCAGCTACCTTCACCAGCTGGCCGGAAGTGGTAATTTGAAATTAAGAATCGATAGGAAAGGAAATTTAACTCAAAATGTAACTGTTAATAAAAGTAGCATAATCCTTACACAGCCATGTTGCATTTTATGAAATAGAGGCATATTTGTTTATTTGGAGGAACCCAAATGCATTGAATTTTATATTATCATCTTAGCAGCTCGCTTTCCAAATTAATTAACTCCTTAAAGTATTATTATGACTTTTGGAGTGACTAAAGAAATTAATCAATTTGGCTGAGAGAAAAATTAATAATATCAAAATGGTTTTCAAATTAGTTTTTCGTTACAAAAGAACTTCCTTATAATTTTCATAAAAGGTATTTTGTGAAAATTATAGATGTTATGTTATTGATATTTATTCGTTTAAATTGATTCCTCAGCGATATAATTGATGTAGTCTTCGTCAGCTGTATTTTTAAGTCGGTCACGTAGATTTGTTCCTGAGATTTTAGAAATAGGAAATAATTTCAACAAGTCCATCATGTCTTTTCTCTTTTTTTCTTGTTGCATCAAGTCCATCACGTCTTATAAGCAATTATGAGCTCATAAGAATCATGTCATCGGGCCTAGTGGTCTACATTCTAGAAATTTTCTTATAATTTTATCCATTGTAATTAAACCATTTTTATAACCATGTAAGTACTACTTTCTAGTTTATGACAGAAAATTTTAAACGTTTTGTACCGAAAAAATCCAGATGAGTCAACTTAACTGCATTAAATAGTGCTTTCGTTTTTCTGATTTTGACTACATTATATTAATCATCTGGTGAAAAAAAAAATGAATTCTTTCCCCATGAGCTTTGATAATGGTACAGTGTGCATCGTAACTACACTTATCAAAAATTTCATTTCAACTGTCTTAGCTGTCTTTTCGTGGGGTGAAACAACAATAAACAATTTACAATTATCATCAAGGACTTGCTTTTGCGTTTAAACTGCATTGTTGACGCGATTTTCATTAGAATATAGAATTAATTAGTTAGATTTCTGAAGTGAATTATTTATTATTCGACGGCTAATAAAATTTTGGCATTTAATGACGCTAATTCTTATCATTAGAAAAATTTGTTATGGAACTAAAACATTAGGTGTGTCATTCAGGTGTTTTGAAATTTTAAGAACTTTAGAAAGTAGGGTTAATTGTGTTGCGAATAGCTGCATTACAAGTGCAAAACATGTTTCTGAATTAATTTCTACTCAGTTTTACTCAAACTCGAAAGACGTTAAAGCCAATTGATCGAAAAAACTTCTTATATAAAATATTAAATCTGATACCTCAAAAGCTGTCTTTCATACTGCAGCAAGTGGCGAAAGTGAATTTATTCCTATAAATACAAAATAAAAGAACGGTATAACGGGAAACAACGGGTGTGGGTTGTATGAAAGAAAGTGATTGTTATTTGTTTCCTTAAATCCAGCGATTTTGCGACTGTTTCTACGGTTTTCTATCAAGCGAGTTCTGTAAGATTCTTTGAAAAAAAAAATATACTGATCAATATCTTTACCGACAATCTGAATAATAATGCTCGTCACTTAATCATTTAATATTAGAAACAGTTATAAACTAATATTTCATTTTTGTTACGTTCAAAAATGCAAATATTTCACTCTTGAATTTGTGTATGATCCCTGAATATGATCGCGAAATATAAATTTAAAATTTTGCAGCATGGAATTTTCTATCATCGTATTGATAATTTGTCATGCGTAATTCAAAAGTTTGTTCTTTAATGAGTATAAAACTTTCATAAAAATGTTCAAACAAAACTATTTGCTTCAATTAAAACTCTTCTGTAATGAGAAGTATATGTCTGCGACAATATTTTCGAAAATGTAAGCAGCAAAAAATATATATATATAATTATAAAGAAATAAAAATTAAGTGTCGTGATACATTATCAACATATATTTGCGTTACCATTAAAATAAATAACATGAACGTATTTATTTCCTGTTGTAAGAAATGAATATGTTTAAAAAATTTTTCCAGCATGTAATTTCTTATAGCTGTTTTTTTTTCTGCTTTCAATTGCTCTTTAAATTCCATTTGGAAGAATTATATCACAAATGCATATTCATTAAATATGGTTTTTATGCATTACTTTGAAAAAATAAATGTGTTTAGGGTTCTTTAAATATGTTTCTGTTTTCTAAAAAATTCTTAAAATTCATTTAAACATTTTCGATAACTATCCAAAATCTCTTTCTATGACTTATATCTTTGAAATATTTAACAAGCATATACTGCTGTCAAATACTAAAGCATTTAACTTAATTGTATGAAAGTAGAGAATTTTTTCTCGTTATTTCTTAACCATATTAAATTATTCTGCAACATTTCGAAAACGAAAATTCTTCTCGAAACTTATATGAAAAGGAATTTCTAATTGTCAAAAAAAAAAAAAAAAAAAAAAAAAAAAAAAAAAAAAAAGGATAAATGCATTTATTGTTGAAGACTGGTTTTTAACTAGTATGATTACAGAATCATAATGGCTAAGCAGATTATTATATTTTCTTTTTTATGTTTTCAAAAGGAGAAAATTCCCACCAGTGGTCGAGCGGACAAATCGCTGAACGCTATAGTTTGATCCAAGGTTCGATTTCCGCAAACGGAATGGCTGGATGGGCATTAAAAGCCTCTTTCGCTCACTGCCCCCCCGTGTGTAACTTGTCTACGAGCCAGTTTCCCTTAGAAAGTTCTCCACGGAGGCATCCTTCCCTTTAGAAAGACACCCCTAGCGGCTTATCATCTAAACCAACCAACCAAAAGGAGAAATACATTTTTATGAATAGAGCAATGTCATTTCAATATCCTTTTCACAGGCTTCTAATAATTGTAAATATTTATTTAACAAACGTTTTGATTTACTTATTCCTTAGCTCTTTTGATATACTATATAATTTTTCTAATTTTAGACACGGCTTCTCTATATTATGAGCTCCCAATAATATTTACTGGCCATGTAGTTACTGAATTATCTATTTGACATAAGTTGCGCAAATATATGTTCAACCAGGAGTGAGACGAGTCCTAAAAGTTTCTTGAGTCTCAATTCGAATCCTAAAACCTATTCTCGAATCTTCATAAAATGTACTTTCTCGTTAAATTTTAAAATGTTAAATTTGAAGTACATTCTTCTAATAATCGGGAACGCTACTTAAATTAAGCAATAATGAACAGATCGCGTATATTCTTTAAAAAGTTCATTTATTTTATAAATTAATTCAAAACGCATACTAAGTCTCTAAGCAAATCATTTCTTTTGGTACTTTCTTACTCTATATGATCCAAAACTCTTATTAAGCACTTTCTACATTTTTTACATCATCTTTCATCAAAGAATGAACGTAAAAAGAGAAGCGAATTAAAAGGAAAAAAAATGTCTTTTTCTTTCAAATCTTAAATACTTTATTTCCTTATTCTTTACTCCAACAACGTAAAAAATAGCAGAAAAAATTAAAAGCTTTTTATGAAATAAGAAAGATTTTTTTAACAAAGAACCACATCATGCTGTTTAAATGTTACTGAGCCTTGTCTATGTAAATGTTCTTGAAATTTGAAGAACTGTTTAATTAAAAAATTTTGACACTCTTTTAATTTTGCTGAGACATTTTTGTATACTCTGCTTTTCCGTTTCTTTTTCTATTCTGAATTTTAGATGAGTGAGTACTATCCCATTCAACGCTGTGAAAATGCATTTGTGCTTATAGCAGGTATTACAAGGAGAAATATTTATGTTTTATATTGAATAATTTCGTTCTGTAGTACTGATGAAATATGTCTTTGCAAATAAGATTTTTCAAATATAGATAACCTAAAATTTAATGGCCTTTAGGATATTTTATGAATATTTTTTGTTTTATGGAAAAGATAGAAGTGAGTGCTTTTTGTGCGTAAATTTATTTTCGCTAAAGAGACTTGTGTTTAGATTATTGGATGATAAATTCAGCCTGAAGCATCAAACAGTTATGAAACAACTGTTCAATATGTTATATCTGCTATATATATATTGCTGATCATCCAAAATGTAACCCAAAGAAGGACAAGAAATATCAGATAGCAGAAATCAAATTTATTTCAAAAATTTTGAGTCAAATTTATTTCAGAGATTACACATAGTATCAATGTTAATTGATTTGAAGTACAGCATTCTTTGAAGTGAGAAAAATGAGAAAATCAGCAATGAGTGTTCCCGCCACGTTTGTCAGTAACTGCTGTTACATGCCACGGCAGTGAGCGAAAGAGGCTTTTAATGTGTTATTGGGGAATGGAAACCCATGCACACGTAGCCAAAGTTCGTCTGGAGTATCCGCAGGTTCAGCATGCCGGACTAGGCGTTCTCCGTTCATTCACCAGACATATTCGATGAGCGGTCGGTCTGGAGAACGGGAAGGACAAGTTAAAATGCAATATGATGGGATAAAAGGACAGCTTGAACGTTGCGAGTAAAGAGTCTTAGCTCATTGCTTATTGGGTTGTGTTTGCAGGAGAACCCTGAAGGTAAGGAAGGAGAACACGTTGGAAAACCTTAGAGCTATAGCGTGGCCTGGTGAGTGTACTGAAAATGCGTACTAGGTGGCTGTGAAAGCGGAATCCAATACAACTCCACACCGTAACACCAGTAATTACGGTATGGCAATGTAGTATGACGATGTATACAACAATCACACAGCGGTGTCTCCAAACTCTATTCCGACCATCGCGGTACTGCAGGCAGAAGCATGATTCGTCGGAAAGCCCAATATCATACCATTCGGACTTCTATCTCCGCCATTCAGTGCACCACTACAAAATGCAAAGGAGAGGATGCGTAGTTAGTTGCGGTATTATTTATAAGCTTTGGAAGTTTTTGTTTTAATCCTGAGCAGTGATTGAGAAACTGCAGTATAAAGAAAGTATGATGTAGCATAGTGCAATATGGAGCTTTGAAGAGGGGATGTGTGCAATTAAAATTAGGAATTTAGAAGACCATTCCAATTAAGTTTAATTTGGTAATAAAATATCTTCCTAATTTGGTATCTTTCTGTATTTTGAAATTTATCTAATTATTATTACATGTAGATAGTGCAATGACTATATAAATACCTATATACATACAAAAACAAGACGTCATCGTCACAGATAAATATTTCTCTAAAGATAAAAAATCTCAAGGAATATGATTAATCAATTACGTTTTCAAAATCATTGGTCACGTTCAGATCTGTTTGCCATCTTTGAGGGTACTCGCAATACAAAATTTCGTGCACGTCAGTTATAATTTGTATGAAGCTAATTCGAAATTCAATATGTGAGTGGGTTTATTATGTGGATATTTAGTGGGAAATTATTTTGAAGTTAACACAATGTATTGAGAATGACTTTTATTTATTTGTAAGATAATATTCAATTATTGTTAAATAAAGGTGCTTATTTTTATTTCCTTTAATACAGTAAATACTTTTTATTCCATTTTCTGTCTGCACGTTATATATTTTAAGCAGCTTTAGTTTGAACGAAACAAGTGTATCTGAAGAAAATACTAGTTAAGTAAATAAATGAAAAAACTCTATAAACTTCATGATTCTCAACTTTCTGTATTTAAACTACGAACAAACCGAACTAATTGGTTTCTTTCTGTATGGGAGTTATACTAAATTGATACTATTGTTTGCTTTTATATTCATAATGTATTTCTTTTGAGGAAGAAACCTTTAGTAAGAATGCGATCGTTCCTTTGTTATGAAGCATTTAAAAATAACGGACACTAATGTAAGTATAAGCGATTTTTATCTACATACGACATACGTGATGTAATGTCACACACATTTATAATTCATCAATTTTACTCTGTATGAAAGCTCGACAAAAGCGTAAATATAATATACAGTGCAAAGAGAGGTTTTATTTCTGTATCATTCTAATTATTTTCAACAGGAATTGGGAAAGCTTGGACAGCTAGCGTAGAAGATCAAAACCAATTTATTGAAGTGAATTTGGATGATGTCAGAGCAATTTACGGAGTAATCACGAAAGGTAAACCTCTCAGCAATGAGTGGGTGACATCCTACCAGCTTCTCTTCAGCAACGACGGCGTCTCATACTCATATTACCAGGATGAAAGTGATAATAATAAGGTTAGCTTTAGATTAAATACTAATTCTAGGCTTTTTCTGCTTCATGTGATAAATTATTATATTCATATATACTATAATAGAAATCTTCTGTAAAATTTCACATTAAAACGCCGAATTTTCAGTTGTCAAAGTATATGTTTGAATTCTATTATAAGGTATTTCTCCCGCTTTCCTAGCGAGCTTTCGTGGTGTAATGATTCTGCACTCTGAGCCGGTATTCCAGAGGTCCGTGGTTCAATTCCCGGCGAAAGGGTTTGCTAATTTTTCATCTCTCCGGCCTCAAAATAACCTAATGTCTCTTCAGTGGCGCCCGAACTGAAAGGGTGTTGGATGAGATTTCTCCATACCCAGGATTTGTCGATTGGGCCCCTGAAACCCCCAGTTGCAATTTAAAAAGGGCGTATATAAGGTATTTCTCCACTTTCCTAGCGTGCCTGCGTGGTGTAGTGGTTCTGCACACTGGGCCGATATTCCAGAGGTCCGTGGTTCGATTCCCGGCGAAGGCGGTTGCTATTTTTCATCTTTCCTGCTTCCAAAAGTATACCTAATGTCTCTACACTGCATTAAATTAAATGAAAATTTAAAATTGTTTGATGATGAAAACGCCTTCAGCGGAGTCTTTCCACATTTTTATACCACCTGATCATTCATTATCCGCATGATTTAACAAGTACTGATATAATAAGAAACGTAAGATTCTTCATTCTTCACATGGCCTTGCGTATTCCTATAGATTCATTATTCTTCACGTGGCCTCACGTGGTCGCGTTTGGAGTGGCATAAGATTTTTCAATTTCTTTTTATAATTTCACTTTAATTAAGACTGACCAATTTAAGATATTTTATAACGTACATAAATAAAAACATTTATGAACATTTACAATGTTATTTGATTAGTTAAAGATATTCCTAATGCTAAATATGACGTACCTTGTATAGAATCTTTGTTTTTGATGCTTAGTATAACAATTTTATTTAGTATTTGATAAATGTTATCAGTTAGGTTAGATTTCTTAGAAGATAAGTAAGAAAATATTTAAATTTCTCGAATATTTAGAAAATTCATATTTTATTACATTTATTGCAAAACAAAAAGAGTGAAACATTATGACAAGTATTAAACTTGAAGTATTTATGTATAACAAAACAAAAATCACTTGTCACTGTGAGTGAGTTTTAAGAGACAACAAAACGTGTTCCTGTGTCACGAGTTTGGTAAAGTTATCAGGGTCAATGTTCCTTCTTACCTTCTTCGGGAACATACAAGGACCTGACTCGGAACAGAGAGCTTACTAAAGCTATGTTCACTAATTGTGGTAAGTAGACAGGATACAGACGAAGGGTATACAAAACCCTTTATTTTTCTCTATATACAATAACTTCCGTACTTCGGAATACACCGACCCGCTACTCGCGGTCTAACGTAAAAGTATAAAAAAAAACTAAACTCTAATTTAACTTTAGAATAATATAACGTGGAAGATTGGCCTTATATTAACAGGAAGGCGTATGTAGTACAGAGGAAACTGAGAACACTACAATACGTTTAAAGTTATCAAGAGGATTAAACCTCTGGCCTGGAAGGCAAACAAGCAACTGCGTAACTTCTAAGGTAAGCGGCCCTGCTTCGAACTCACTGCTTCCTCTCTCTCGCTTGGCAAAAGGCCACAACTTAAATACTTGGCGTTCGCCAGACAAACTTTGCATAAAAACCTTAACGCTTATAATTCTGGCCGGAAGTAGAAAATAAGAAGTGATAGTAAAGATTCAAAATAAAATAAACGTTAGTAAAACTTAAGATCCTTACATACTTCCCGCCAGAGTTAATTAGTTTGAAACTGAGGTCTAAAACGACCTTGTTGAAAACTTTTAGCTCTAGAATCTAACGCGAGGCCAATCTTTTACAAACATACTTCGCTAGAAACTAGAAATTTAAAAGAAAGAAATTTGTTTTTTTTACAATAGCAGCTCCCAGGATATAGAACAATTTTTTTTCATCTGTACTGCATCTAAACAGGAGCTTTTATTCAATTCTGGTTCCTTCCAGATAAGGAAAACTAGTTAATGAAATGTTACACAATGGGCAAAGTAACATGACATACTACAATTTCTTCTCTTAACATTTTATTTTCATGACTATTATTAATCTCTCCCCGTGCTCTGACATGTGTTGTAAAAAAACACCAACGAATTGTCTTGTCTACGTGTTCACACTCCTACAATCAAAACACAACGTGTTAAAATTCAACATAACCAAGACCTCTTAACAGACCCTAGTTTCAATCTCTAAACCCTGAGGTACTATTCTAAAAGTGGCTAACTCTAGAGTGTAGCGTCAGAGAGCCTAACTACATCATTCAACCTTTAACACATATTCGCCAATGCTTTAGTCTTTTTACAGTCACACAATAAAAAAAAAAATTTTAACACTTTCACTTTTACCATATCACGGTTTTCTTAACATTTAAAATAACAGTTCACATTGTATATAAGAACATATCAACATGCCGTTAATTTTAACATTTGAAAACATACATTAGTAGTACATTGTTAACTTCTATTCTTTTCAAAGCAAGTGCCAATTCTTTCTACATTGAACTACATTTCAAAAAAGTCTTTCAGACTAAAACTTTCTCTTGCTAGAATGTTTTTAAATAAAATTTATACAATAACTTTTTTTTCAATATTTAAGTCTTTACACAACGCTATTATACATCAACTTTAGTTTTACGCGCGAGTAATTTAAAAACATAATACGAAAATCGGTAACAACTCATTTCTCGCCCTTTTGGCGATAAAGGTAGACCTCGCATGAGGTAAAACTTCTTGAAATCTGCCACTTGCAGTAAGAATGAAAGATTAACTTAAGTTTGCAAAGTAACATAAAATTTTACTTATCTTTGTGATATTCGGACATCCTTTTCTGGGCCCAGTCTTTAAAGGTACTGCAGATAGTAGTTTGATTTATCCTCCTTCTTCTACGGGCTCGCCCTTCAGTGCCTTCCTCTGGAAGCTTCCTTTTTTCACCAGTTTCGGTCACCCTTGAATACCCTTCTTTTCTCCTCTGCTTGTGGTCTTGGCCGTTTGATGGCAGCTGGCCTTGGCGGAACCGGGAAACTTCTGTCGTGTTCCTGCTTGGACCTCGTTGTTGGCCGTTCAAATTATCCTTGTAACTTTTCCTCCGCCGCTGATGGCCCTTCCGCAGTTCGGCTACATTTACTGCGGAGAGGCTGTCGGATGAGTCGATCTTCCGTTTTAGAGCCGGGTTATAGTTGCCGTCATTTCTCCTGGTTCTCTTCACATACGTCGTCCTTCTCCCTTCTTCATTCTGGGGGGTGTTCGTTTGTGAACTCTCTTTTCTGGACGGTGGTGGAACGGCTTCTTTTCTTGCTACCTTCAATTTTTCCGCGGGGCAATTTTCTTTTCACTTGCTCCTGCCTCTTATTGGCTTGCCCTTGTCGTTTTTCCCCCTCTGGAGCTTGTGCCTGCGGTGTCTGCCGTGCCGGATCCTGCAAAAGATCTGAAAATATTTGCATTTTATTACGATCGAAGTAGGGCTTGATTTGGTCAATGTTTGCGGAACAGGTTTCACCATTTCTGGCTTTTAACACTACTACAGCGTGAGTTATTTTTTCTATAACATATGGTCCTTCAAATCGTGGAAAAAAGTTGGCAGTTTTATCTTCTGGTGCTGAAGAAAGTGAATGCTTAATTTTTAAAACTCATCCCCTACTTTATAAGTTACTCCCCGTCGTTTCAAATCATAATAGAGCTTCTGTTTTCTTTGTGCTACTTCCGTATTCTTTTTTGCTTCTTTTATTAGTTTTTCTATATCACCCATTTTAAATTTGGGGGGCTCTTGTTGCACATAAAATAATTTATCTAACGGTGTTATAATCTTTCTGCCTAGAAATAACTCAGCAGGAGTTTTGCCCGTTGTATCATGTTTTGCGGTCCTAAGGGCGAAAGCAAATTCATTGACATAGTTATCCCAGCTTTTATGAAAATTTTTAACATAACTACGGATAATTTTCACTATATTTCTATTGACCAGTTCCGCTATATTTGATTGCGGCCGATACGGGACCATTTTTAAATGACGTATGCCCAGTTTTTGGCACATGTCTTCAAATATATTACTTACAAATTGAGGACCATTATCCGATATAAATTTTAGGGGCGCCCCGTATTTTAAAATATACTTATTTAAAATAGAATCAGTAGCTAATTTCGTGGAGGCTCGTTTTAAGGGAACAATTTCGGTCCATTAACTAAAATGATCAACCATAACAAGGAGATAGCGACTTTTATTTAACTGACTTTTTGGGAAAGCCCAATAAATCGATGCCAATTATTCATTTGGAAATTTCGAATTTAATACTATTTAGAAAACCCGGCCGGGCGTGGGAAATTAATATAATTAACTGCTTGACATGTGGGCAGGACTGGACATACGCCCTTGTTAACTTTTGCAGTTCAGGAAAGTAGACTGCCTCGCGTACGCGGTTGGATAGTTTTTTCGAATACCAGCATGAGAAGCTAAAGGGCTGTCATGGAGCTCCTGCAGGATATTTAATCTAAGACTAGCTGGGATAACAGGTCGAAATTCGTTGTTGGAATTCGTAGTTTTTGTATAGAATAATAGACCATCTATTAGTTCGTAATGGGCCGCCCTATTTCTTATCGCCACAATATCTTGGTGGCTAAAATTTTCAGGATCCTTCAAATACTCATAAATGCTACCAAACTCAGGATCCTTACCCAGTTCAGTTATTACAGTTTCTCGGGAATTTATTGTACATGCTGTGAGCATTGCCACCTTTACGGTATTCCCTTGTTCATTTATTTTAATTCTTGATAGGGCATCTGCTACGATATTTTCCTTACCGGGGGTATGCTTGATTACCAGATTATATTCTTGCAGCTTGAGTGCCCATCTTATTAACCTTGGGGATAATTTTTCCCTGAGTACAATCTAGTTACCGCCGCATGATCAGAGT